TAGTGTTGCCGTGACCTGAGTTTGCTTTGAGTCCGATTGCAGGAACTATCACATATCATGGCCAAATCATGACGTCATGGTATGATTTGAGTCGGCTGCCAACTCGACCTCGTCTCATGCGAGAGGGTGTGACCCTGTGGGACGACGCTGTGCAACAGTCGGCGGCAAGTTAACGGCAAGTGGCAGTCCGTGAACCGTACGCGTCGAACCGAGAAGTACTGAGTCGAAGGTTATCAGACGAGACCTCGACCATGGTGCTCTCACTTCGGTTTCAGACTGCGAGTGCGACTGTGCCACTGTGGGCTGTACAGCTGGACGACCACACAAAGTGCAGAGCAACTTGTGCTCAGCCATTGCTGCAGCTTCCTCTTCCGTATCGAGAGTCCGGCAGCATCCTCCTGTGCATCAGCCGCGCGTGGATGACGGCGCCGACTTGATTTGTGCTGATTTGAGTCCGATTTGAGTGGGGCCGAATCACGTGAAAATCCGAATCGATTCCATTCGGTATCGATTCCAGGTCAAATCACGGCAACACTAGGTGGAAACCTAGCGATGCCTGTTCGACGTGACGCATGAATACGACGATGCCGTCGTCTACCTATGCTCTATTAGGAACGACTGGTTTGTTGTATTGCATGTCGTATATGTGCTAAGGCTTGCTTTCCAGAAGACAGTGAAGGCCATGATTAGATCTGATCTGGAGGACCTGATAACCTCGTGGCTCAGAGTCAAAACGACACGCTGCGCGGTGCCGTAATCGTGAGAGTGTTGCTCGCAAGCGCCGGTCAGACTACGGTGCGCATTGCTCTCAAGGAGGTTATCCACTGTCTTTCCTTCAGTCCTCGCAGTATGTATATAGTCGCGCGCTGCCAGTACCAGAAAGGTAGCTGAGATCAGAGCCCAGAGTATCAGGGATCAAAGCCTGTCAAACTTCCTATCGAGATCAACCAACGGGTATGGCGCTGTATCCGTGAGAGTAGCATTGGACGCTAAGCGCCCAGGCTTATAACAGGCCGCAGCCGACCCCGAGTTTAATGCCGCCATCCCCTATATGTCCCAAACATCCATCTCGTACAAAGTCAAGAAGAACAGGAAGACATCGACGAAGCGCAAGGAGAAGGCCGCGGCGGAGGCGGAAGTAAAGCAGCTTCCGCTCGCGGTCGTAAGGGCACGGTGGGCTAAGGAGGTTGCGCGTACAAAGTGGCCGTACGATGATCGGTACAAGCATCCCAAGGGCACCCAAGTGCGTTTCCTTTTCCCCCTGATCCTCTTCTTGCGCTCTGATACGGTCCGTAGACCATCGCTAGGAACGCTGCGACGGAACTGCCCACTGAGCGGGAGCCCCCCACGACCAAGCTGAAGAAGGAAGAGCTTGACACGACGCCATACGAGGAGCGCTTTGCCAACAACGGCGCAATCATGAAGCTTCACAACCTCGTCGATGTGGTGACACTCATTCAGAAGCGCAATGAGTGGATGAACAGGACCATCCCCACCGAGCGTCTGCGTCTGGCTTCCAGGGTCGCGAATCAGGACAGCACGCAACTTGCGCAGGCGGGCCCATCTTCCGGCGCCACCCAGGTGACAGCTTCGAGCTCACCGTGAAGTGGTCAGTGAACGCTCTCCTGCTGGATGCCTTCAGCGCTGATGCACAGTCACAGTCCTCATGCAGGCTGGGTGCTCCACCACGATGGTCGATACTTTTGGCGGGGTTGTTTTCTATAACGTTGGTGTGCCTTCCGAGAGAACTGTTATGGTATGGTACATGATACCACGGATGGTTCTGGCACTTCGGCCGCTTGAGCGTGAAACCTTAAGCCATGATGGTCCCCTCCACGACCTTCACAACATGCCCCGCAAGCCTCACAAGACCCTTCTCCTCCTCAAGCCCGACCCACAAATCGCCTCCACGCGCGCTCGCCTGATACGAATCCATCGTCGCGCCCTTCAACCCAAGCTTGCGATCCCAGTACGGCACCAGTAGCCCGTGTGCCGAACCGCACACCGGGTCTTCGTACACACCCAGGTCAGGCGCGAACATCCGCGTCTCGAACGTCACGCCCTTCTCGCGCGCAGCTGGACTGGGGCGGGACGTGAAGACGTGCACCACGAAGTCGCTTTCAAGCTGTGCTCGCATTAGCAGCACGCTCTACCAGATCGATCAAGCAACTCCAAACGCACCAAGCGCATATAGTCGACCTTCAACGAGCCGATGTCCTCTGTGTCAAGTTCGATCAGGCAATACGTGCCATATCCTCCCGTGCCAGCGCCGAGATACAGAACGCCCACGTCCGCACCAAACGCGGAGGCCACGGCTGCGCGCAACTTCACCGCCCTAGCATCCTCCCTGTCCAGCTCGTCCACCTGGGCCGCGTCGAGCGAAATCTGGACCTTGTTGTCCTCGACCCTCGTACCGGACAACCTATTCGTCACGCCCGTATAACTCAAGCTCTGCGCCGTATCCGCTCCCTGGATATACATCGTGCTCCCCGGTTTCTCATTCAAGAACAACCCCGAAGCGGCCAGCGTCGCATGTCCGCACAGCATATTCTCCCTCACGCCCGTGAACCACCGCACGCCGAGCTCGCCGGAGGGTTGCGGGACGACGAACATGTGCATCGGCTGGTTGAGGTTTCGCGCGATGGTTATGCGTTGATCGTATGTGAGCTCGGCGTCCTGGGAGGGCGTGAGGAGGATGATGGCGGCGGGGTTGCCGCCGGAGAGGGAGGTTGTAAAGGCGTTTACGATGGCGAAGGGGAGCGTGAGGGGCGCCATGACAAGGCAGAGTGTGCTGTGTGCACTGTGTCGTGTGGGGTATTGGGGAAGCCTGTGGCTTATATGCGGGGCAGTAGACTGTGTGTATGCCTGACTCGACTAACTCGACGGCCGAGGAGGACTCCAGCCTCGGTTTTAAGTTACCGATGCGTATGACATGGCTTGTCGCAGAGCATCTCATCATCATAGAGGTCAAGTGGCTAGGTTGTCCATGCAGTCAGCGTACATTCAGAGTCAGAGAGAGAGATAAGTGGCGAAACGAGTGGCGGAGTCCGGAGTCCGGACTTGATATGTTATGTCCGAACGCCGATTTGGTCGGCCGACGTCATGGCTCTGGTCGTTGGCGAACGTGCAAGACAGTACATGAGTCTATCATCTATAGTGCACGCGGTCATGACCAGACTTTGAGCTCATGGGCGTATCTCGAACATGAGCCATTGCTGCGCTATCGCGTGTGGCAATTGAGTGATTTAGACATGGCACTGACACAGCGTGAGAAACGACGTCGAGGCCCAGTCGAAGCGCGCGCCTCGCAGGTCGTGAGGCTTGCCTCTGACCACCATCGACCCCGCTCACATCCTCGAAGTCATCTTCCTCTGGAGCCATGGATCGAACAAGACTGCGAGCTACGATATTGCCGCTACCGGCTCTTCTACCATTACCTACTTGACTCGGAATCATCGACAATCCAAACATCCTGAATTCTCGGCGACACGACGAAAGAGGGAACGTGGAGGAAGAGCTCCGGCGCGCCCGCCTCCGGTGAATTGGCGACTTCAGGCGAATGCATACGGGATCCAGGTGCGCTGCTCTGTGCATGATACGGCGGATACACTCTCTAATAACAGCTCCAGACACTACTTCCCTGACAGCTTTCACTATACCACTTCGCCTTTGGCTCTCGACGGCAAGAAATCGCTGGAGCTTCCACATGTTCATCACCGCGCAAGACAGAGTCGCTATCCGCCGCCTATCGGGACTCTGAACGGGAATCCACATAGTCCCCTTCGAGTTTTGTCCGGTTCTACTGGTCCTTCGAACAACACTCCACTTCTGTCTACCTCATCTGGTCTACGGGACACCTCCGCCCTCAAAGTTTAAGAGAGCCACGTTACTAGCTCACGCCTTCACTCGATACATCCGACGCTCTGCTTCAACGCGTTCCTACATATGGAGACTTCACGTCATCGTCGACTTTACTCCATGCATGGTATACGAGCCAACGTCGCCCTCCTGCTCTCCGGTCGAGCTCTTCGCCTCTACGAAGGCCGTAGTTTCGACGTCTTCTCCGGTCCAACGATCCGATCACTCGGGCGCACAATATGAAGTCGATCTCGCACGGATACAGCTCTCCTCTTTACGCCCACCAAGCCTCCCCCAACTACCACCACGATCCGCGATGGTATGTCGTTCGTCGCTCATCGATCTCATTCCGTACTCAAGCGACTTCTCAGACGTACGAGATCCGCATGTCCAACACGCGCGGCGTGCCGTATTTCTACAATACGAAGACGCAACAATCGTCCTGGGAAGCTCCGATAGAGTTCAGCAAGGAGCAGATCTTCATGCTTCCGGGCGCTCATTACTTTCACACCTTTGGGGGCGGCGCCCGGCCAACGGAGGTACGCGCAAGTCATATACTGGTCAAGCATAGCGGGAGCCGAAGGCCGTCGAGCTGGAAGCAGGTACGCCACACCTACTCTGATGCGTCTACGTGCGCATACTGACGTTCTGATAGGCCCACGTCACTCGCTCGAAAGAAGACGCTATCGCCATCTTGATGGACTTCGAGGCTCAGATCAGTGGCGATCCGGCTAAGTTCGCGGAGCTTGCTCGAGAGCACTCTGACGATTCTTCGCATAGGAATGGGGGAGACCTTGGAGTGTTTGGTGCGGGCCAGATGCAGAAGGCGTTTGAGGATGCCGCGTTTGCGCTACGGGTCGGCGAGATGAGCGGGGTGGTGAGCACTGATAGTGGGGTACATCTCATCCTTCGCACGGCATGAGCGCCTGTACATGACTGGGAGAAGGACAATGCCGTCTTATAGTAAACGTGGAGATTGGAATTATCAGTGTGATGCATGTTATGACAAGACATTCACTACTATACAATACGAGAGATGCACTCCGCGATAGGTCGGTTTCCGTGAACTCGGCTTCAACATGAATGGTAAACATGACTGGTCCAAACACTCACGGACCTTAGGTCTCCGAGGATGATGTAATATTGAATAATGCCACGCAAACTGCCACGAAGCCGAGCACGGCGCTCCTTCACTTTCTCAACCGCCATCTTTCTAGCACTCACACACACACTTTCTTCTCAAGATCTCTGAACTCAACTTCGCGCGCATGGCCTCGTACACATGAGACATTTTGCAAAATTCGCGAGTTGCGCATCATGATTGCCAACATAAGACTCGGAGGGAGGCTGCTACACACGAAGCTATATGCCAGTGATTCGTAAAGACTGACCCGGACACGAAATGATCGCTAGGATTGGATCGATGGCCATCGGAATGGTGCGTCTGCGAGGGCGTCATCAGTCAACGGGAGATGCGCTAGTACGACAAGAGACCGCACCTAGAGTTCTCTGGGCGTCGGCTGCAACTGCTCTATGATGTCCCAGATCCGGACCGTTTTATCATAAGAGCCCGATACAATACACTCTCCGTCTGGAGAGACTGCTACGGAGGTTACGCCGTCAGAGTGCCCTTTGTATGGTTGACCGACCGGTCTCTGTTTATCTATGTCCCATACACCTATACTGCCGCTATCGAAGCCACAAACGATACGCTTGCTATTTGGAGAGAATGCAACAGCAGTAACGTCGCGGTGATCGGTGTATCCCTCGTCAGTGAAAGCTTCCTCGACGTTCTTGTCGGTCTTCGTTGACCAGACACTGATTGTCCCATCGGCTGATCCCGAAACGACGTGCGCGCGGTCCGGGGAAAATGCAACCGACCAAACCGTACCGGTGTGTTCTTTCAGTATCCTCATTGACTCCAATTCTCCGGTATCGAGCTTAACTTTCCAGATGCGAACGGTCCTGTCAGAGGATCCGGAGACGACGTGCATGCTGTCCCCGGAAATTGCGACAGAGTAGATGGTGCCTTCGTGACCGGCGAGTGGTTCTCCTATCTGTTGCCCGCTGTTGGCATCCCACACTCGAAGCGTGCGGTCGTACGAGCCGGATACGATTCGCTCCCCGTCAGAGGAGACCGCCACGGACCAGACAGTGCCGCTGTGCGCTTCGAAAGGATTGCTCATTATGCCGGTTTCCAACTCCCACAGTCGGACCTTCGAGTCGGTCGAACCTCCTACGACATAGATGTCGTTCGGATCGATTGCGACACTCTGTACGGCATCGATGGATCCCACGAGAGGCATGCCTTTCTTCTCTCCTGTCTCCGCTTCCCAGATCCGGATTGTCTTGTCGGCAGAACCTGAGATGATACGCAGAGTGCCATAGGTCCCAGCTGAATACGCAACCGATCTGACAGGTCCGTCATGTCCATACAGCACTGTGACTCAAGACAGTCAGATCATCACCGTTGTCATTCAGCGATCAATGTACTCGCCTTGTGTGGCAGTTGAACACTGCTGCAAGAACCTTCGTACGTCGTCAAGTTCGTCGTCACTTGCTCCCGCCAGATGGCGAAGCAACTGGCGCCGTATGCTCCTGTACTGTCCCAGTGACCGATGTTGAGGATCCGGAGAGTACTGCAAAATGGTATTCAAAATTGCACAAAGTCTCCACGACTGGATCCCGTCTTGGTCTCGTAGCCACGCGAGTAAGGTCGCGCCTAGTAATCGCCAACCTTGCACTAAGATTCGTGTTCAGCAAGAATAACGATAGACAGCTAAACGGAGAGATCACCTGAGGCGGCGATGTTGTCTACTGCTCTCTGTGTCATGCTACCATTATTGTGATCGAGTGCGGCAGTTCTGAAGTAGTCCTGGATGAGAGCTTAGGCAGTGTCAACGCTACACCTCGGTAAAGAGAAATGTCTAGACCTTCTACCATTGCTTCTGGACGAGCTCGCGCAAATGTCGACACGAAAAGCCATGCAATGTCGCGCTGGTCCTTGGTGGCCTGGTTTCCTAGATGGCGCAAAACATGGGCCAATGTGTCGACTCTATATCTCTTCGCGAGAAATATGTTGATGATGTTGGCTTGGCGATGAGTTGTATTCAAAACGTCCAGAACATTGCAGAGGATGGTCACATGCATAATGCGGCTTTGTTCCAAGCGCTCCAAAACCTCGTCGAAGAGTGCCCTGAACCCATCCCCTGCCTCTGCTATTCAACGAGAAACACCCGAAGAGAGAGTGAAGTGACGTACGTGACTTTGCATGGATATACATGATTGCCAGTTGTGTGCGTTGTTCATCGTTGTTGGGATCCGCAACCTCACTATGGGTATACTGATGAACGAGATCCTCCATTGAATCGTAAAGGTCCACCTCCTTCCATTGCTCGTACTGGTCGAGCAAACGAGGAGCCATCGTGACATCGTTCAGCGGTTGCATAAAATGCTCCCAGAAATGTGGATTGGATGGAAGTTTGGCGCTGGGAATATACTTTGACTGCGACAAGGAATGATGGTATATGCACCCAAGGATGGGATGAATGACCGACTTGTGTGTCTCTGTGAGAGGTGCGAGCTCAGATCTCCAGACCGACGCATGGATCTTCTGGCCAGGTTGAAGGATACGCCCTTGTCCGCGATGAGGTGGCCTTGATCAGACAATCAGAGCGGGTACGATTGCATGCGATCCCGAGATTACGTACCAAAACATAGTTTCCTCACGCTTCGTGTATCCTTCAGCTACTACCGCCTCGCCTTCAGTCCGTTTGCATAGCATGGTGCTCCAGACACCCCGTAGCATCCGAGGAAATAGTTTGGGGAGCAGTCGCGAAATCCAGATGAGAAGTTCGATTAACTTCCATAACAGCAGCGCCGGGATTTCAAAGGCTATCCACCAGCTCGCCCACCATCCGCTCGGCCACGATCTGTGAGGCAAGGTCTGCTCATCTGCCACGGTGGATGATAGCGTCTCATGAGAGCTATCTACCCTCTGTGCCACACTGTATACCAAGCGCCGGAAAGGGAGATGCTCGCAGAGTTGATATAAGAGGCCGCGAAGAGATTCGATGGGCTCGAGCTTGTCGACGCCTGCGGACGCACGCTCGAATCGATTTAAGTGCAGTCCGGCGATGGACGCTTCGATATACATCCATCTGAGCGCAGGACGGGTAGTATTGAACGTCGGGTTCTCGATATTTCCGCCGCCCCTGAAAGCAACCTCATCAGTACATGTGAGAGTCAATCTATCATTTGAGAATGCCACTGCTACCTACACGTCTGAGTGCGTTCCTGAAAACCAAACTTCCTTCGTGTCATGAAATTTGTACTGGGGGAGCACCACTCGAGCTGAAGGACCCCTACCCCCATTGGCGTACTCGGGTAAGAACTTGACTCGCCGTTCATCTAATGCAAGAGCATGCCGAAAGTAACAGACGTGCGTCATGCCTTCATCGGTTCCGCCAAGAAGTTCTGATCGTCCGCGGCCGAAGCCCAAGGATGACACCGTGTCCCTGAAAATCATCTTTCAGACGAAAGTATGCATGCATTGCGGGCCTGGGCGTACCATGCGCCAACAAAATGAACCCTCACAGTACGTGAGAAGGCCGTCTTGAAGAGGTCCGCTGAGTCGATCGGGTGTCCTAGTACTGTGGGCAAGAAGTTTGTCGATGAATTCGTCGACGGGCCAGGTTTCGTGTACCAGCTGTACGCGCTGATCGTGGGGATTACGGTCAATGCGGCGTACAGCGTTGTATAGTGATATGCTGTACTAACAATGGGATTTGTTTTTCGTTTCCGGGGTGAAGGAGGCCAACCTTCTCTGGACTCAATACGTGTTATGATGAGATGCCATGCCATGAGCAGACATGCCTTATCTATCATTGCTGATAGCACACGAACTTGATATGCGCCACGGGAGAATCCTATCTCTGTGATCAGCTGCTAGTTTCTGACATAGTAGATTGTAGGACATAGTACCGAAGAGAAAGATACGATCACCAGTCTGGTATGTTTCGGACAGCCAGCGGTAAGCATCAAGTATCGTGTCCTTGAAGTGCCTGAAAGCGTATTGAGACAAGGGCCGAAACAGGCATAATACTAGCGTACACAGCGAAAGCGAGATCGAGGTTCTGGATGAACCACTGTCGAAGCGATCTCGTCGAAGATTCGGCGTAAGTCCCGATCCCGCTGTTGTAGTAGGTGCACTGGACGTTGCCGTTAATATCCGGGATGTCTTTTTCGATGAGACTATAGAGTTCAATGACGTTTGTATTCTATCGGGGACTGAGCACAAGTTGAATGGCGCCCGTCCAACGCAAGCAAGCCGAGCGCACCTTTCTCCCGAACGCATTCCCTGTGCCGTCAATGCACACGACTAGGTTCCTCTGGTTCAATTTTTGACTGTGTAGACAGCCTGTGGGGTGCAGGGGGCGCGTTTTGCCGGTCTCAGCTATGACCTCGGCCATGTGTAAACGCGAAAGTTGTATTCTATGTAAGAATATGGTCACTATATACGAGCTGTATTGCGCGTGGCACTCACCGAATGTAAGCTTCGGTTTTACGACCCCTGCGGTCGTGGTCGGGTTCACGGATGGGCGAAGGCGGAACCGCGTGCAAGGGGAGCGAACCCTGAGTGTACAACCGCGGAGGTAGGAAGGCTGAGGAAACGTGTTTCAACCACAGGCGACCCTTATATACTGCAGTCTTCTTGAATTTGCGGCGCCTTCTTACATCAAAGAACATGGCCGAGGCATATCACCTCCTGGCCTTACAACATCGAGGACACGCCACACGCGTGGCGTAATCACCCTTTGTATCTTCGATGCCCATATGCATTTTCAGTAGACACACATCAATCCGTGCAAACCTCACTTTCACCTTGCTATGCTCAAGAGAACCTGGAGCGCTGACGGCCTTGAAGAAGCGATCAAAGGGGGTCGCGGGGATAACCGCCCTACACTTCACACAGACGATAAGTACCCCGAAAGATCTTGGAGCAAGAGTTTAGTCCCTTCGCACGCCGCAGCGCTCGACGCAGTCGGCGATTAAGCGTCTTCTCCAAGCGCCGCCATAGGGGTATGCAACTATGGGCAAGCTAACATCAGCGTATCGGGTTCCAAGGGACTTCATGTAGCAATGAATTAGGGAAGGGCTGGACCCATGAGCCGCGGCAGGACGGTGGTACTTTTGACAAACTGAAACTCCGCTTGAACAAGTGGTCAAGATTGGTTCTGCATCAGCCTTGAATATCATGTGACTGGAATACCATACTATGTTCGCACGACATGGTACCGGCCTGTACAGGGACTAGGCAACAACGATGACCCGGGCCAGCAATGATGGCTGACCCACTACAGTAGATTGCAACTGCTGATAAGCGCTCAGACGACGTCTTCCGTGAATACACGGGGTGTGTTCTGCGCTAAGTAAAGGTCGCCATAGTCAATAAGGCTTCACATAAAAGCTGGGTATTGCGGGCGTACCATGTGCCGGTATTGCTCAGGTGGCAGGGATACTTACCTTCCCGATCTGAGGAGCCGGTAACGTGCAGATATACTGTGTCTGAAGACCCGCATGTCGCTGGCAGGCGATGCATGAGTATAGAGTCGCAGCAACAGTCGCGGACAGCATACGCACCGGTGAGATGACAGGCGCGAGGCTGAGTACGTGTATACGAGACCGCAAAAAGCAGTCACGCGTTCAGAGACGATCTTGCAGAAGCCCTGAGGAAGCCCGAGATGTATCAGAAAGGGACATGGTGGAGGTAGAAGGAGGAACGACAATCGGAGCGGTGTTCGGGCCGAACAAACGCGCCTCCGCCCTGCCCCAGTTGCGAAGGTTGCCCTCTCACCGTCATGACCCATTTCTATCCCCGTTCGATCTCTGCATTCCGGCTCGAATCATTCCTTTGACCGACTCATGTTTAATGCGTCGCAAGCACGGGCACTCCTCGCGCTTGTTGGGCACAGTCGTCGGGGTTCATGGGTACTACGAAAGGATCCTGCCAGTAGATGAGGGCGGTTCGGACATGGTTAATGTGAACGAAGACCTAGGGGGAGGGCACGCTCGACCGACTGAGGGAGTTTTGTACATACAAGAGAGCTGGAGACACCAGAGAGTCACAGGCAGAGGTGAAATGTACGTGATATCCGTATGTGGCTAGCCAACATCGTTGACTGAGTTTTGCTTCACAGGTGACACTCGGGGGATACCTCAGGATGCAATATGGCGGCCTACGCGACTGTAGGCCTCATAGCACTGCTTATATCGTCAGCCTTGCATGTTTTCTCCGGCCGCCCGTCTTGAACATATTTCGTTGTGCCCCCGAGTTAACCTATTCAATAACCCGCCGCCCGCGCCACAGTCATGTCCCGATATGCTCGAATGTCGCCGACTTCTATGCTGAAGGACGTCCACTGAATCGTTCTGAACGGCCCAGGTCGCCTCGCACTCACACATACGATATAGGCCCCTCGTCGCTACCGCCATCCTTTATGCAATGCAATTGAGTGTTCGGATGAAGGGCGTGCTTACACGTGTCGTTGGCATCATTGGGGGTTCCATTCGCGCAATACTGATCATGTTGTCATGAAAATGTTGTAGTTGAAGAATATACGCTCCAGTGTGATTAATTTCCCTACACAGCCCGAGGTTGCACCTATAGACGAAGCAATCCCCGCAATCGTGGATCGAAAAATCAGATAACCTGCATGTAATGCCATTCGGCTCAAAACACTAGAGCGTGAAGAGGGAAAAGTTCAGAAACAATACATGATGTCACCGGTCTCGTATAGGTATATGTCGCGGTATCGCGTCCTATCGTACAAGCACAAAATCTCACCCTACGTGCTATTGTGCTAGAAAGTCCAATTGATCATACAAAGAATGAGACCAAAGCCCTTAGCGCGCCGACAACCAGCTCGTACAGGCGCCCAATGCGCGTTTTACCTGCGATGAATATCTGTGAGTCTAGCGCGCTCCTGGATCTTAAGCACTGACGGTACCGAGCAAGGACGCAGGCGTCTCGATCCCACCGGCCCCACCGGACTTGAGCTTACTCGGGACTGATGTTGGCTTTGATGGAGTGCTCTCAGCCTTCTCGATGTGCTCCGCGAAGTACTGATGACAGGTTAGACATAGCCAAGCGACTTAAGCAGAAGCGTGGGTACCTTGGCGAGGAACTTGCCCGAAGCCTTTGGGTAGCGCTTCTGCGTTTCGTAGTCGACGTACGTGACACCGAAGCGCGTTTCGTAGCCATCAGCCCACTCAAAGTTGTCCAAGAGACCTTCAGAAGAGGCTCAGTCTCGACCGGGATTCATAAAGAAGCGATGAGGACTCACTCCAAGGGAAGTATGCGCGGATGTCGACGCCATCGTCGAGGACCGCCTTCGAGATCGCATCCGTCATACCGCGGAAGTACTCCACACGGTCCGTATCCTCGAGCGCCTGCTCGAGCGGCATCGTGTGCTCGTTCTTGACGGCGAAGCCATTCTCGGTGACGCTGGACCCGATGATCAGCCGCTGCGTCTCGTCTAGATCACGTTTCATGACGAGGCTTACTAGATGGGCTTCTTGTAGCGCTACGGGGAAGATACGGTCAATCCTCGCACATAGAATGAAATGAGATGCGGGATAAGGCATACCTTGTATAGGTAGTTCAACAGCTGACGGTTTCTGTCAGTCATGTGCGGTAGGATCGAGACGTGTTCGGCTTACGTCGCGGAAGCCTTCAGGGTCTAGACGCCTATTCAACGAATGCCGCAGTGAAAAGTGGTCGGATAGCACTCACAAGTTTGTAACCATGCGCAATGCGCTGTAGAGCAGCGATCAACACGCCGCACGGGAACCATTCTGTACTACCGCGTACCTTGTGTTCCAAGCTGTGTGCCGTCAGGGCGAGTGAAGGTGTACTCTACGAGACCTTGGAACTCGTCATCACCACCCGCCTCTACAGAAATTATGAGCGCATGCAATAGCACCATAACAGGGAAGAAACATACTGCAGAGGTTGGTCGTGTACGTGTTCATCCCGTAGAAGTCGGAAGAACCTTTGACAAGCTCGATCTCTTCGGGAGTAAACTGGGGTAGACGGTCTCCGAGCATCTCTCCCATGAAGGCAGGGTATTTCCCGAGGTAGATGGGGTCCTGTGTGCCGGTTAAGGACCGAAACATAATCTTGAGCGGGTGGTTCACTCACCGCGAACCAACCGATGGCAACGTCGAGCGAGTGCTGGGCAGCCGCTACGTCTGAGAAAGTCAGATCATTAGGGCGTGTATATGTGAAGAGCTAGCATCACGCACTCTGCGGACTATCGTCGAAAGGCATGGCCCAGTCTCCGTTGAGCGTGATGCCGATGACGCCCTTCTGCTTCGCCTTGAAGGACTCACGGTATGCCTTGACAGCTGTCGCGTGCGAGAGAATGACATGGTGGCCGACACTGAATGATATTCGATGCGAGCGGGAGTTGAAGTGTCTGAGAGACGTACATCCAGGGCTCAGTAGCCGAGTTGCCCTCCGGGGACCGCAAGCGATCGCTTGAGCGACCTGGCGCGAACACTCCCCGGCCGTAACCAAGAACCGAAATGCACCACGGCTCGTTCATGGTGAGCCTAAAGGTGTGGTGTCAGCATACGACCAAAATGAAAGACATAATAGACGCACCAATGCTTGACCCGATCACCGAAAGCATCAAAGCACACCCGCGCGTAGCGCTCAAAGTCGAGCACGATCTCTCTGTTCAACCATCCACCGTAGCGATCGTGCAAACCTTGCGGCAGGTCCCAGTGGTACAATGTCTATACATCTCATGAGCGCTTCGCCACAGCGCATTACGAAGGAGACGCACGATGAAGGGCGTGATTCCGTTCGCGATCAACTCGTCGATGAAGTTCGAATACCAAGCGATACCAGCCGGGTTGATCGGGTCGTTACGACCGCCAAGAGGGATGATACGCGACCATGCCAGCGAGAAGCGGTAAGACTTGACACCGTAAGACTTGAGGAGCGCAATGTCCTCCTTGTACCGCTTGTATGAGTCGGTCGCGACATCGCCGTTCCCGCCATCCCGCGTCTTGCCTGGTGTGCGCGAGAAGTCATCCCAGAATGACTTGCCGCGACCGTCTGCCTCCGTGGAGCCTTCAATCTGGAACGATGCTGCGCGTCGCGAGTTGAGCACACATGCACGGGTAACGCGCACACGACAAAGCACGCACCAGTCGCAAAGCCCCAGATGAAATCTTTGGGCAAAAGCCGACCAGGTGCGTTAAGTGTAGAGCTGCTCATAGCGGGGAAATTAGCTCGCTCAACCTATCCAGGAGAGCCCGTTTTATGCGCGAGCAGGAGAGCGTACACGGACGCAGGCGCGCAGTCCGAGGTTCCGCCGGCCAGGTCACCCCCGCAAACTAATCGGGACCTAACGCGCGCGAGGCACCTGATATCAGCGTCCGGAACAGTCCTGGGGAACAGGCGCATTTGAACGTAGTCGCGCTCGAGGTGCAAGTCCAAGGCAGAGTCGCCGTTCCGGGGATACACCGCCTCTGAGGTGGCCGGCGGCAAGGATGATATCGATAGACGCTGGCGCACTATGCGCTGTGCGGTCCGACGTTTGAATAGCTTGCTTGGCGCCTTCATGCGGATGCAGGCTCGTGTGCTTGTCATGACGAGGAGCACAGACGGACGGAGGTAGATTGGGCTCGGGGTGCCTGAGGCCGGACGACGCGTCTCGGATGCGACGGCGCGTCGAATCTGATGTTCGTGCCACAGTGCGTGCCGGTATGCGCTATACTTTGTCCCGACATTTCGACGGAAAGCCTGCACGTGTAGGTCGAGCGCCGAACCTCGCCGCATGACAGGTTGGTCGTATCGAGCCTCGACGCGGCACCGTATGAGAGTTGGCCTCTAAGCTCTACATCGGACCCTGTGTGCCTCGAATACACTAGCCCACTACAAGGCTATCGGGGCCTCGCAATCTACGAACGGCTGAACACGGTTGAGCGAAATGGACAGCGGTATGAGAGTCCGGTGACATACACGCCGTCGTGAATGTCGCAATGCTAGAACCGTCCGAGGTTCCTCCTGCTGGTTCTTTCGTACAAACGCGCGTCGCAACACGGAGGACGGTGCCTCTTCTCGGAAGCGAGGGAAGCCGGCGCCTAGGATCCTACTTGAAGAATAGAGCTATTGCGCGCCGGCAAAAGGATGGATGAGCGCCTGCTTTGGGTCGTTGTCTATGTGCCGTAGTGACCTCGGAGTAACCCCACAACGTACAAGTCCGCCTCGATAAATGACGAACGAGGACAGAATGGGGAGTTGCGATGGTTTGATATGTAGTGCATCAAGGAACTTATGCGCCGACACGCCTGTCGTTGAGCGTTCTGAACTGAAGCACACTGCATCTGGTACACGCTCACCATATGTCTGGTCAGTTTCGTGGCGACCTCGGAGTAACTCCACATCACAAGTAGCGAATGATGATAGTATGGCTGTCGCCCTGTTGTGGATGTCGCTGAACCGCGTTGTGAATCTGCGTAACGGCATGTCCGTCGATACGATTGTCTGCAAGGAGTAGCGGAAACGCACCGTGTAAAGCCGCAGCACGGCCTTACGGACCGTGGGAGAGAAGTGCCTTGATCCGTATTATTCTGTAGGATTATACTTCCCGTTATCGAGCCCATCTTCACCTTGCAACCGATGATACTGTTGAGTATAGGGCTGCCTTTCATACTGTTCATACGTCAAACGCTCCCTAATGGGTACGAGTCGGGCCGGAGGCTGCGCAGACACGCTCGCAGACAGAAAAGGATCTTCGAACATCGAATATCTTTCCTTGTTTCCTGCCAGTGCACCTTTCACGCGTGTAAGCCTCCAGACACTAGCGTATACTAGATATGGTTTACACTTACCGTCCATGTGGTATGCGAACACCTGCTTTCATCTGGGCAACATTCAAGGCGTATTGTCGGGATTCGCGATGCCTAGATGGTGAACATGAGTGAGAAGGCGCGAGAGATCGCGCGACTTGTAGAAGGGCTGAGTCTTGTCTTGATGCTTGATGGCGTCATGCGATCGTAGCAAAGAATGCGACCGAAGAAGGGATGAAGACAGCGGATGAATTAGATACTCGTACAGTAACGCAGATCAAAGCATCGTCGAGAGCAAAAGAACGCGGATGCGGAGGTGAGGACGTCAAGGGAATCGATCGCCGAAATCAGAGTAGACTATCGCCGAGAGTGCAGAGACCTCATGTAGCGAGGCCAGACTCTGTCAATGTCGTCAGTGTTCGGTGCAGGGCTGGAACGCGAGGGCTAGCGAAATGAAACTCACGTCTACCAACGGGTTAGGCAATCCGTTCAGCGCGAGCGCGCTCCATCTTGCAAGGCCTGGCAACATTCCCGCCAACCGCACAGTTGGCTCGCCGGAAGCGCCTTCCTCAGCCGCAGGGGCGAAAACGTGTGAACGGAGACCATCAACGAGTACGTCCGTGGCAGCGTCAAGCCCGCGCTCGAGTACGAGTGCGAAGTCTGGAGAGGCGAGCACGTCACGTGTCTCCTCTAGAAGTTGCGTGAACGCGGGATCCTGCGCGCCGCCGGAGGCGTTAGGGAAGCCATTCCGCGAAAGAAGGTTATTGACAGCGGATGCTGTTGGTGGCAATAGTGTAGACGTGAAGCTGGGAGATTTCGTTAAGACAGTCCATACAGGAAATAAGATAGGTAACTCACTTGATGCGTCGCTCATGACCCTCAAACGTTATCTCGTGTTCAACTCTTCTCCGTACGTCTTGAATAAGTCGGTGAAACTCCAACACGCTGATCTTGCTCTTCAACGATACACTACACAATGATCAGTCTCAATTAGTCGAAGGAGGCAGTGAAACTGACCCTTCAAAGACTTCTTCTACACCTCTCCGTACTCGTTCGCCGACATCTTTCCAGCCCACATGTAATATCCACCAACTGAGCGTCAGGAACTTTCTCTCCGTTTGCGCATCAACCCCGGAGCGCCACAGTGATGAAGAGCACTCGTCGTCCTCCGACAGCAGCTTCTCGACGTCGAGTATTTGCTGACTGGGTGCGAAGAATAGAGAAGCGATGGACGTTGCATCGAATGACTCTCGTTCTTCTTCGTCGCGCGAGAGTTGGATGATTGAGTGGACGTATTTGTAGCGCCCCAAAAGGGATAGTTGGATGTGCGTGAAGATGGATAGAAGGGTGATGGAATAGAGCGTGGTCAGAGTACGCGTAACGGCTGCTGTAGTTTCAATATGTGCAAAGGTTAACATAGATTGTACGCACTCATCATCTTGACCTCTCGCCACATCTCAGCCTTGCGTTTGGTCGTCAGACTTGCTTGCGAGCTAGCCAAGTCTGCTACAGACTATTTCCATGATTAGCCAATGCCGACCTGGATGAAAGCGCACGTACTGCAGCATCATTTGTGGCGCTGAGCACAGAGCTACTCATCGAGTCTCCACCGGCTTCGGAGGAGGATGAAGATACATGTGTTGGCGGCTGCACTGAAGACGTCTCCGAGGGTTGTACCCAGCTCATCTGCGAATCGGCCATTGTTGAAGACGTGTCTTCGGGCGAGGAGAAGGAGACGATGGACATAGAGCCGTTGTCGGACCGTACATCCGAATCGTTGACGAGCTCGCCACTTGACGCTGCAGAAGCCTCGGACGGTGCATGGGTTGGAGGTTGAAGTTCAGGTGCTGGCGCTGGTCGAGCGCGTGACGTCTTCGAAAAGTGTTGTAGCTCCGCGGTCAGGGTCTCGACGTCCATATCCGTGAGCACGTTGTGGGCGAGGATGGGCATGTGCGCCATCACGGTGAACGATATATCTTCCATGTTCTGTCGGAAGCGCTTTCGTATACTACCTTAATGAGTTCATATAGTCAATATCATACTGGGAAACTCACCCGTCTCGCGATGCACGCTCCTCAACGACTTTCCTCCGCACATCCTCCAACCGGTCGACCACATATCGGCCGGCGACATATATTCCACCGGCCCATCCTGCTGCCTTGGCAAACTTGGCCCTCCGCTCGTAGAAGTAATTGCCGACAGAGTACAGCATATTATTCTGGTCGTACCTGCTAGCCAGAAGAAGAACCGAACATGCAGGCCGAAAGCAAGCCGTGTCCAGGCGCGCTCCGCGACGCGCGCATGCTTTCGACGCGTTCGCCGACGCGCCTCTGCACGTGTTTCCGGCCGAAGTGCTTGTCTCCCACCGTCATCCTCTTCTCGTTCGCAAAGAATTCGGAATATGTTCTCCTCTCAACCTACATTGTATACTTTATACGAGTCCCCATAGGCAACCGAAAGCTATAAGTCGCGTATCAACGCATTGTTGCAGACGGGCGTATCGAACTCATCGACGCTCAGATAGCGGATCGGTGTAAACTCAAACTGAGGCTCGTTTGATAGCTTCATCGTGAATGCGTCCACGGTCGGCATAACGAGCTGACACTCCTCGCTTCCTCAGCACCAGCCGGCGATGAACCTCGCTCTCTGTATGAGCCTTTTGCTTGGCGAACAACAGCTACTAGCTGCGCCATCTTCGCATGGCACTGCCGCACGGTTCACTGGCCTATCAGCCCTGATCTTCTCTGATAGATATTAGGTAGGCTCTCGCCCCTATATCCACATATGATAAACATGTGACGTCTGTCTGTAGCGCTGCATGATGGTACAGAGCCCGAATGTCGTTGAGGTCTGGTACTTAATCATCAGCACTTTCGATTGAGATTGAACTTCATCCCTCCTCGCCTGTGAGCCATCATGGCAGAGCCATCGCTGCGGGACAGACAGGTGTGCTAGTCTATGCACTTGGATGCAATCGACCATCACTCATCTCATTGTCTGCAGGGCTCAGAGAAGGAAGATGCCGCATCTTCCATACGGGGAATCGCCGCAGAGGTATATTGATATGCAACACTATGCCACGCTTACTGAGTGTCACCCTGTAAACAACAGGTTAGCCAGCTGGATAGCTACGGCTTTCACGCTATGAAGCGCTTTCAAGCTACAAGAGACCAAGCGGACCTTGAGAAAGCGCTACTTGCCCTTCGCTATGCCGTCGATATCACGTCCGAAGAGGACGCGAAGGTGTCGGCTCGACTGAACAATCTTGCCATGGCGCTCAAGGTCCGCTTCGATCTCCTCGGCCAGATTGATGATCTGGAGAGCACCATAGACGCGCTCAGACGGGCAATCAGCCTTAGTTCTGAAGAACATATGACCACTTCCTCCCTGATCATCCGACTAGGTGGGGCCTTGCACTTGCGTTTCACTCGCCTGGGTGACTTGAACGACCTGGAAGAAGCCGTAGCGGGTCTCCGGGCCGTTGTAGCCGACTTACCCGCCGGCCATCCCAGCACACTGTTTCCACTCAGGAATCTGTCGGTCCTCCTCATGACACGCTACGAACGCCTTGCGAACCTGCAAGACCTCGAAGAAGCTCTTTCTTCTTTGAGATCAGTCAAGGAGATCCTCCCAGGCCGCGCCACTGGCGATGTTACGCTTGCCAACAACCTCGGAAACGGTCTCTTACGCCGCTTCGAGGCGTTGCGCGAACCTCAAGATCTCGCGAGTGCCATTGATAGTCTCACGGCTGCCGTGGATCTTACACCCGACGGAGAAGCCGCCAAGTCGACATTCCTGACCAATCTGGGCTATGCGTTTTATTCGCGCTTCGAACTCTCTGGAGAACCTGACGATCTCGAGAGATCGATTTCCCGCTGTCGTCGAGCAGCAGACCTCACACTTGACGGACATATAGACCCAGCGCGGCCTCTACGATATCTTGGATTGGCATTGTCCCAACGTTTTCATCAATCCGGGGACGCGGAAGACGCTCGAAGCGCCGTGGCGGCGCTAAGGCAATCGAACCATCTTGTACCCCACGACCATCCAGAGAAGCCCGCGCACCTGCATAACCTAGGCATCGCTCTGCAAGATACGTACCAGCACCTCAGTAACCTTTCGGATCTGGAGGAGTCCTTGAACGTTCACCGTCTCTCAATCAAGCTGACGGCTAATGGTAGTCGAGAAGAACCGATACGTCTCGATGGTCTCGGCGTCGCCCTACAGCTCCATTCAGAACGCTATGGGGACACCGATGACCTAGAGACTGCGCTCTCGTTGCACAGGAAGGCAGTCAGCCTCGATCCTCGGTCCTCGAATCTTCTTGATCACCTGGGCACCGCGCTGAGGCGCAGATACGAGCACTTCGGTGACCTGGAGAACCTGGAAGAGGCCATTTCCATTCTTCGAAGCGCTGTGGAGCACGACTCTCGCCACGTACCTCGTTACGTCAGCAACCTCGCAGGCGCTCTGCGGAGGCGTCATGAGCGCCTCCGTGACCCAAATGACATGGAAAGTGCCATCAGAGTCCTCCGTCGCGCACTCGAGTCGACATCAGCCGGAGGGCTTGAGCAGCCGCATCTTCTCAGGAGCCTGGGAAGCGCTCTTCTGAGCCGATTCGAGCGTTTGCATGTTCAGCAGGACGTCGAGGAAGCCGTATCATTGGGCTACCGTGCTGTGGACGCAACTCCAGACGCCCATGGTGACAAAGCCAGCCGGCTCAATGAGCTCGGGATAGCATTGATCGCTCGCCACGAGCATGGCAGAGATCCAGAAGACATCATCAGCGCCATCTCTATTCTTGACCAGGCGATCGAACTCACCGCAGACACACATCCCAATCGATATTCGCGCCTAAGCAATCGCAGCTCTGCCTACATAGAATGGTTCCAGATTACCGGCGACGTCCATTGTCTCACTACAGCAGTTGAGGGGCTACGCGTTGCACTCGAGATTACACCAGACAACCATCCCGATAAGCCGAGCGCCCTATTCAACCTCGGGTTCCAGTTGCGAAGGCTGTTCTTAGCCACCGGGATCCCGTCGTGCTTCAATCAAGCCGTGGACAGCTTCATGGCTGCTACTACGAGCAAACTGGGCGATCCTCGATGGCGCATAGGGTCCGCCAAGTACTGCGTAGACATGCTCTTGCAGCATCCCGAGCTCACTACCACCGACTTCATGCTACAGGCATGTGAACGCATGATGTCGATGTTCACTGAAGTTGTTTGGTTGGGCCACGACATCAGCCGCCGATACGAGGACTCTGGAACCGCGCCGGGTCTAGTCAGCATCGCCGTGCACGTTGCCATCGAGGCGCATACGTTGTCGAAGGCGGTTGAATGGCTTGAAGCGGGAAGGGGCCTCATCTGGTCCCAGATGTTGTCACTTCGTACCCCTCTCGATGAGCTTGCACAATACCATCCAGCTCATGCTGAATCACTCGGCCATGTTCTCGAGCAGCTGCGGGAGACAGTGCACACATCCACGTCAACCAGTTCTGAGTTCGATGCACTCGGTATCATTTCGAATCGCGCGGCGGACCGCCATCGATCTCTTGTTCTCGAGTACGAGCGCATCGTTAGCTCAGTGCAGAGCTTTGCGGGATTCGAGACTTTCATGCGCACGAAGAAGCTCTCGGACTTCATCCCCTCGCTCAAACATGCAGACGGTCCATTCGTCTTCATCAACGTCTACATTTCAGAATCTCACGCTCTCGCGCTCCTCCCAGACGGTAGCATCAAGACCATCACTTTGCCAGAGCTATCTCTGAAGCGCGCAAAAGCGATGCGTTTGAACTGGACTAAGTCTCTAGGTGGTCGCATCATACGCCAGCGCGCCGCTGTTCCCGTGGGCGGAGTGAACGTAAGAGGGGGTACAGAAGCCTTCAAGTTGATCCTAAGTCGTCTATGGGCATGGGTTGTATACCCGATTCTGGAAGCCCTCGGATATGTACGTGTCAGCAATGCTCAGCTTGAACTCCCCACTGACTTCATTGTAGATAAAGCAAGATTGCGCTTCAGGCCGTCTTCCGCACGTCACTTGGTGTCCCACCGGTCCTGTTGCTCAGCTTCCTCTCCATGCCGCGGGCCTGTATACAGCGACCCAATCACCCACTCCACGGATCTACGACTATGTAGTCTCATCATATGCTCCATCCCTTTCTGCGCTGGCGCGGTGCCTGGACGGCCTAACCAAAGAACATGGCGAGCCAACTGTCCTGATTGTAACGCAGCAGAAGACGCCTGGATTACCTCATTTGCCCGGCACCGCCGTAGAAGGCTCTCGCTTACAGGAGGTCTTACTCGAATCCGGTATTCAAAACACGGCACTAAGCGACACCGAGGCAACAGTGGAAGCAGTCAACGCTGTCCTCTCACGGCACTCGTGGGCGCATTTCGCTTGTCACGGTTCACAACACCCAGGCGATCCCACGAAGAGTGCGTTCGCCCTGCACAATGGTCCGCTCTCACTCTCCGACTTGATGGGCACTGTTTCAGAAAGCGCCGAGCTCGCTTTTCTCTCCGCGTGTCAAACCGCGACCGGCGACGAACAGATACCCGAAGAGTCTGCCCACCTCGCGGCGGGCATGCTCGCTGTCGGGTTCAAGGGCGTCATTGCTACCTTATGGTCCATCGGAGATCAAGAAGCGCCCATAGTTGTAGAAGAATACTACAAGAAGCTCCTGGAAATGCGCAGGGATGGGCGGGGCTATCACAAGGGGACGGGCGCCGCGTACGCTCTACATGATGCGGTCAAGCGCTTGAGGAACGAAGTCGGAGAGAGCAGCTTTGTAAAATGGGCTCCATTTGTACACTTCGGCGCGTGAGGGACTCATTGAGCACATGATCTGCGTTCAAAGACTACGTTTGAGTGAGTAGGGGACTTCAAAGTTGAAGTACTACCGCGTACGTAGCTTCGCGCTACGCGGCTAGCTTGCTACAGTGGCGTGCTAGGTAGCCAACTCCGTGGCACCGGCGAAGCGTGCAGCGCACGCGAGTAGAAAGTCGGGTATCCTGTGTTGCGTATTGTTCATGGCGTTGTATCTCGCAAATAACGCGGGTAACGACCACTCTGCGGCACTGGCGCCAAACTGCTCCTCCCCTCTTCGCCATACCCTGCTCGTCGTACACATTCTGGCACAGCGCCCATCTGGCCGATAGCGATGCTCGATTTGTCTGCACAAGTGAGAATGAATGTCACGCGAGCGATGGTGGTGGGGGTCTGAACTGTGCCGGGTGTACCGAGCGCTGTGCGAGGAGCGGAAGGTTGGCAAACGTCGGCTGATCATGCGCGGGTCCTTGCGTGTAGCCCTCTGATTGGCCAGAGATCGCGGGCCCATAGGCTTGGCATGTCCAGTAGAAGGGAGCGCCAGTGTTGGCAGACGTGTCCGATTCTCATCCAGCAGTTTGCCGCCGCGTGAGACTTGCTGCTAGGGTCGGGGCGGTCTACATCCGCGATGTGCTCGAAGATGAGGCGGAGGATGTCGATGTTTAGGCACAGAGTGTGGGAGGATGTGCATGCAGGGATCAACGTGGGCGTTGGGCGATTGCCGTGGACGTCCCCGTCCCCGCAGACAACCACAGGAGGCATCAGCGTGTTTTCTGGAGAGGGAAATGAGTCGGAAAGCCCAGGGAATGTTCAGGTTTCCCTGGGCGTTTCGCGTACCGTGAAAGGCNTCGTTTCGTGGCGAGGAAGATGCGAGGAGAATCAAAAGTTCTCCTGAGGGCAGAACAAAGGCATTCCCTTTGTTCAACTGGTTTCCCTCTCCAGGAAACTTTTGATTCTCCTGGCACATCCTCCTGGCCAGGAAACGGCGAGGAGAATCTCTTGTCATCAGTGTGTGTCACTGACAGGAGAACAATTGATTCTCCTCGCCTTTCCCGTGCCGCGAAAAGCCCAGGGAAACTTGAACTTTCCCTGGGCTTTCCAAAGCATTCCCTGTCCACGACTTCGCGCTGATGCCTCCTGTGAACTCCGCTGTCGCGATCCTCGTTGCCAGTAGCCTCGTGAACTTGTGAATCGGCACCGCCCTGAGGGGAGGACATGGAGTGCACGGTCTGGCGAGTCGTGTGCGACGAGCGCGAGTATTGTGGGTGATGTTGGGCAATGTCGAAGGTGAAGCGTCCATAACGCGCGAGGCCGTCAACTTCAATCACGCATAGGGGGAAGCCAGGCCACAGCGAGCACTGCGTGCGTCGAGCGTTCACGAACCCTCCCCTCGTCCTACTACGGGCAATGGGTGTCAGACAGGAAGGGTTACGACTCTGCGAATAGCGCCTGGTCAATACAAGCTGGGTAGATCATAGGCAAAGCACACTCACGTATGCTCCTGTTGTACGTGCCATATCCGAACCGTGATACGCCATCCATCCGGAGAGACCGCCACTGAGTTGACGGCGCTCACCCATCAACCCCATCTCAACACCTAACACCCTTCTCCGCATGTCCCAAAAAGCGGCCGAGAGGACGTGACGGGCGTCCGGGAGGAGCGCGACGGAGCTGACGGTCCAAGGGCACTCGCCGATCTTCCTGCCGTGTTCTTCCCCGTTCGCGGCGACATCCCAGATCGGACGAGGGCGGGGTGCGTAGTTCGGGGCATCGCGTCGGGAGTGCGAACCCACTCCAATGGGCGGGCATGAGCGAGCTGGCCAGTCAACAGCCAGACCGCCGAGGGCTGGCGCCAGGTAGGGAGCGGGTGTGAGGGCCTGCCCGAGCGCACTCACGACTCCCGTCGGGCGTATTACGGGGGAGTGAGGGTCCTAGTCGAGTACCCAGCTCGAGCGCTCAAGAACGTACTATTGCACTAGCAATTCACACTCCGGCGCATAAATCTCAGAGGGCATAGTATATCAATCTCAATGGCGGTCGGGGACGAGTCTTCGAACGCGGGAAACGCGCCACTCGCGCGACGAAAGCGTCGCGCGCGTCTTGCTCATGACCATCACCGCGATGACATGCACTAGCACAAGGCGCGTACGACCGTACTCTATATTAATAGCCGCATGCTCATACACGCGCAGCTTAGCGCTGGGCGGCGAGCCGTCTTGACACTTGAGAAGTACTGGTAGCCAACAAGCGCATGTGGGAGCGACCATCCAGGTGAGCACAGCCATGTCTACTGACAGGATCCTCCTTCTCACCTTTTCTTAGGTTTCACCATTACCCGTTCACGTCGCCCATCTCGCGTAATTGCGTTTGCCGACGCGTCCCTTCCGATAGGTCACGCGTGAGCGCACTGAGGACACGCTCCTCGAGCGTCCATGACCCGCGCGCGCCGTGCTGCTCTTCTTTGTTCCCAGCTCCCAATTGCAATTATCACAATGCACCCGCACGATGAGGCGTGAGCACTTGAGCTTTCACATCGGGTACCTATCGGACTCCGGTTTTCCGCGTTGTATATCTGCAGTGCTTCATCCCAACTTCTCCGATGCGCCCTACATACCCTTGAGCGTTGTTGTTTCTTAGAATCAATGAGATTTCGGGAGCAGGACGCTATCGTCGCAGATGGAAAATTACCCGCTGGGTTGTTCTGAACTTGTTTACAGGCCCTACTGTGACCGCCAGGAGAATCATATAATCCCCCGTTCGTCACATCAAGCATCGAAGCGTGATGAAGTTTTAACATATCACCGTGCATCTTGTTCAGAATCACTGTAAATTCTTTCTCGCGTCCGCCATCCGCAAGCGTTCCGAGTCTGGTGCGCCGTTTGAGAGACTATCCGCTCACCTGGTATGCTCAACCAGCATATAAGATCACAGGCTACGTCGTGCTATGCGGACTTCATACGACCCGCCACAAGATGTCTGGAATCGATCCTACATACCCGCTCTATCCTGTGGCTACCATTCTCGTTGGATCTGCACTCCTTCTTGTACCCCTGGACATGTCCGTCCGGCGTAACTGGAATCTGTCAATTGCCTTCCTTTGCATTTCACTCAGCATCGAAAACTTGTATTTCGGGGTTAACGCCATCATCTGGGCCGACAACGCCACCGTGAAGTTAGACGTTTATTGCGACATAGGTGAATCCCGTCGTGACTCCAGAGTCCCAACGCACAAGCTGATCATGACTGTACCGGAACACTATCTGGGATAGCTACACGCTTCCAACTCGCCGCTGGTATCGTGAGGGCATCGGCAACCTTGACGATCCTTCGCCATCTGTATTTGATCGCGAAGCTGCAACCTGTTGAGATACTTGATAACACATCGGTGAGCGATGTCGCGCAAGTCAAGTTGGGATCATAAAACTTACATCCTTATGTTACAGAAACGCAGAGATGTTGTGATACAGTGGGTGCTGGGCCTGGTTCTCCCCCTCCTAGTTGCAGGGCCCCTCTGTAAGTGATCATCCAACTCGACATATGTAGTTGCGCCTCACTCAGTGTCAGACCTCGTCGTCGAAAGAACCCGCTTTGCAATAATAGAACGCTTTGGATGTCAGATCACCCCAGACAACTCGATTCTCGGGATCTTGTTCATATGGTCGTGGAATATCGCGTGTCCACTCTTATCTATCGTTCTATACTATCGTGAGTAAAAAACTACGGATGGTGCTATCGACAGCTTGATCTAACACACGTATTCCTCATCAGCCACAGTCGTGCGAGTCTTTTACAACCACTACCGGGCCATGAGCGGCACTGTATACAGTAGCAGCTCTGTACGTATCACGAACTACGCCCGGATCCTCGCGGTGGCTAGCATCGACATCATAACAACTCTACCCTACGGCATCACATCGCTCGCTCTAGCGATCAAGAATCCACGATCTACAGGCAGTTCCATATCCTTCTATCCTGGATGGGCCCGCACACATGAAAATTGGGAGCCGACAGGTCTCTCGTACGCTGACTTCAAGTATTTGGGTCCTTTGACGGCTGCAGAGATATACTTCGCAGCATGGGCACCGGTCGCCCTCGCGTATGCGGTATTCGGTCTATTCGGCATCACAAGAGAAGCTCGAGCTTCTTACATGCACGTCTTCCGCACTATGTGGGGTTGGGTTGGCTGGAGGTCGGCAGTTCCAGAGTCGCCGAGCCACGTTGTTCGATCTAGGTTCAGCACTATCGAGTTCGGTGATCCGGTGCGAGAGTCCACGTTGGTGGAAGTCGCTGCCGGGGCTCGGTACGTGGATATCAGTCCATTCTCTTGAAGCAAGGCAACTAAGCTCCTAACTTCAGATCGTCACTTAGTACAGTACACCCAGATACGCGGGAGGAAAAGTTGGTCGGCAAAGCCATAGCATAGAGCGCATGCCTCGACTGGTTGCCCACACTGTAATCGTTTGTAACGGCTAGCAGTCGACGATCACAGTCGTGACATAGCGTCAACGACAGCTCTTTCGTTAGTGGTGGATTGATGCAGTCCGGGCCGCCTCGATGGTCAAACACACGATCAACCCTTTTCGAGTCGGTTCAGCCAGTCTCAAGGATGTATTCAAGGGCTTGCGAGCACCGAGTACGCCATTGCGCTCACTGACGCGCAGAAACACTTAGAGAGGTCTCTCTTCTGTGATCCGTAACTGTCTGACCGCCGCTTTGAAACCCGACGATGGGTAAACATCAAAAACGAAAGCCTCTCATGTCTGAGCGTGTATTGCGAAGTACTTTGCCGTGCGCCGCATGTTTTTGTCTATAAATGGCACTCTCCACGCGCTCATATGCCTTGCTATACCGAAGCAATGGTCCTATGTGTACAGGAGACTTAAACACGAGATGCTGGACTTCGACGGGCAGTCGCCTGCGCGTCGGGTCGTGATGGGAACAACGAATCTTCTTGCCGGACTCGCCCTGCCTGACACGGATGCGTAGCAAGCTACCGGAGTAGCGCGAAGCTACGCGGTAGCACTTCAACTTTGAAGTCCCCTACTGACTACCCTTGGCAGATGCGCATATACTCACCTTCTTTGACAGGATATTGGGAGCGTCTACACGGGCCTTTGCAGCGCCGAGATACGAATAGATGACAATGGTATAAGACAGGAATCACAGCAATCGAATCGCGGGCTGAAGAGAACGGCATCCTTGGTCATCTATCGAAGACAGGGGCATTGATGTATTGAAGGCGTTTATCATACCCAAGACTTTACTCATGGTGACTGATCGAAGCCAAAGAAGTCTACCGTACAGAGTACATATACAGCAGAGCATTCACAGCATAGGAAGTAGAGTACATCATATCCGATTCCCATGAAGCTCCCCTTCGCAATCGTGAACGCGTTCTCAACCTCCCTGAGCGGCGGAAACCCTGCCGCCATCATCCTTCTGACGCCTGCCCAAGACGCGGAGCTCTCGGACAAGCAGCGCATAGCCATCGCCCGCAACCTGAACCAGCCAATGCACACCTTCGTCGCCCCACGAGATGACGGGGCACTCGGCATACGCTGGTTCACAGGCGTTGGCGAGAACATGCTGTGTGGGCACGCTACGCTCGCTGCTGCTGCTCTTTTCATGGCCGAAGGGCAAAGTAGCGCGATGTTCGTATCTGGCGCAGAAAAGGCCAAGAACCTCGACTTTATCGGTTTGAAAAACAAGGTTCTGGCGACCAGTCTTGATGACGGGAAGATATAAATTGCGATCGAGGCAGCCGAAGTGGAGGAACTGGACCGCGAAGACCCGCGCGCGGTGAAGCTACGCGCGGCCATCGCGAGTGCATGTGGCGCCGACGTTGCCGTGGTATATCTCGGGGCCGGAATAAGGACATATGGGATGTACTGTCTCGTCGAGCTCGAGACGCACGACCTCGGAGCGCTCAACGTCGACTTCATGCGGTTGGTGAGCACCGCCGATCATCCGTTCACACGAGCGATTCTTCCTGATACGAGTTTTTCGCAACCGCAGCTAGATAGCGGATTCGTCGTCCACGTCTTCACCGCCCGTCCCAGTCCTTCCGCGAGCTCGGCAGGCGTCGTGTATGAGACACGCATGTTCGGGCCCGGTCTGGGCGTGAATGAGGACCACGTCAGCGGCTCGACTCAAGGGTTACTAGCGCCGCACTGGGCCGCAAAGCTGGGTTTGGGTGAGAGGACTATGCTTTCCCATCAAGCAAGCACGAGGGGAGGCGACCTTTGGGTGACATTCGACAAAGAGAAGGGTCTTGTGAGGCTAGCTGGTCGTGCTGTGAAGGTCGCGGAGGGCAGTATATGTGCATAGAGGCTCGGAAGCCGGCCCATATTTCTCGTATGAGATTTTTGACCCTTGGAAGTCATGTAGAGCTGATGATGGTCAGAAGAAAGCCTCCCCGCCCAGGCCGTGCGCCGCGGGCTAGCCTCGGGCAATTGCGTCTGACTTCGGTCCAAAGCTGCCGATACCCTCATCCACATCTTCGGGTCTTAGGCGCCTCTCACACATGAGCAATAGACGCAGTACAGTATATACTCTCTTCCTCAAGAGTAGGGTGCATTCGAGGATAAAGCGTGTTGCGCGTTGATGAGGGTCACCCTTCCGAGTCGACAAACGGCAAATAACAGAACAAGATGATAGCATTATAGTAATACACGATTGGGTAGTCCTCTGGGTTGATTGGTATATACAAGTGATGCAAACGAGCGAATGGGATCTCCGAGTTCTCAGTCCGGTATGTATGTTTATGGTATGTGAACAGTAAGGTATCAGTATGTCGTATCTTCGTCAGTCCATCTCCAGCAGCGAGTTAATATCAAGCACCGTCCGCGCCACCCACGTCTGTCCGCCGAGCCCAAGCCTACGCGCTCCTCACGCCGATCTTCACGAACAGCGTCGAGAACAAGTACTGGCTCAACCTGGCATCGCAAAGCGGCAGATGCCTCCACCCCTCCCTGATCTCCCCCACACTAGCGCACCAGACAGCAAGCGCGTCGTCCTCGTCGCCTCCTCCCCTGCTCGCATCGCGCACCGCGACCCTGACGAATACCAACTCCGTCATCCCGCCCAGCACATCGAACGGCAAGCTGAGGCTCTCGGCCCAGACGGGGTTGAACCCGTTATTCTTCACCACGCCCGTCTTCGCTGTGACTACCTTGGCCGGCGTAGCACCTTCGCCGCCAGGTAGAGCTGGTTTGCCATTCGGCGCACTGTCCTTCGGAAGAACGTGCATCCAATCGGGAACATGCACGCTGACCTCGACGAACGGGTCCATCGTACCCTTATTGTCCAGCACCTCGCGCCCGTTGTCGTCCTTCGGCCTCGGCAGCTGCTGCGCGCTGACCACCTCGATGTCGAGGAAATGCTGTGTGCGCTTCGCCAAAGCCTCCCGATCGCCCATCCTCAGCGCCAAGGGTTTGAGCACATATCCTGCGCGGTTGTTGCGTTGGAACATCGCGTGGTTCAGCGTGAAGCCCAGATCGCAGGTCTGCCAGTTGATCGCAACTAGCTGGCATCCGGCCGCCCACGCACGATGCGGGGTGTAGTTGGAGCTGCTGAGCCGCGTACCGCGAGGGTAGACGCGCACGACATGGCCGCGGCAGTGCTTCGCGAGATCTGCCGCGCCGCCGGGCGCCTTGAGCAGCTTCGAGAGCGCGTTCTCGGAGAGGGAGAAAACGTGTTCGGGCGCATAGGCGACCTTCTTGTTCAAGCCTCGGCACTTGACGCCCACGGTGTACACGAGCAGCGCAACAAGTGCGGGGCTCATGCGTGCCTTCTGCTTCTCTCCTGATCCTGATCCTGATCCTGAGCCAGACGAAGAGGAAGGTGGCGCGGGCGAGGCGGCGGGTCGCCGACGCGGTCCGCGGCGAAGAAGCGCGCGCGCTTTAGCGAACTCTTCTTTCACCTCGTCTTTGACCTCGCGCACGCCCTCCTGAACTTCCTTCGCGATGCTTTCCTCGTCGTCATTCTCCGTTTCCGTAGTCGTCGCACTGGTGGTCGTAGTCGTAGAACTGCTCTCGTCGCCCACACTAACCTCCCTCGCCTTGATCCCGCCCATCTCGTCCACCACGAACAAGTTCTTCGCCTTGAGCAGCACCTTGCCCTTCAGATCATCCGGGCTGGGCAGTACGGTGATCTGCGGCCTCGACCCGTCGGGAGGAACGTGCACCAAGGCGTCCCTGAAGCATTCGTGCATGACGCGCACGAGCGCTTCTTGTTGCGGTACCGAACAGTGAACTTCGGCACTTAGGATGACCGGGTAGGGTGAGACGACGAAGGCGTATTGGGCGATGGCGTTGCAGATGTCACGCAGGGGTACACGACGCGTGAGGGTCTTGCCATGATAGACGACTGGCTCGGTCTCGCCGTCGTAGATGTCCACTGTAGAGATGATCAGTCCATAGCTCGGTGACAAGTGAATGATCAAAACTCACGCTCAACGCTCCGACAGCTGTGCAGCAGCGCGCGGATGTACCCCTCCACCGTGCTCTCGCCCGTAAGCTGGTTGCCGACGAGGTAGGTGTTGTGGCTGCTCGACACATAGTACTCGCTCAGCGGCCTGGTCATATCGTGCGCTTCGTTCTTGAGTGGCGCATTGTCCGAAGAGAGCAAGAAGGCGGTGAAGCCCTCGATCGAGAGCGTGGTGCGTGCGAGCAGCTCTGCGCTCGGTGTACGGCCCAAGGTCGGCGGCGATGGCTCCGGCGCCGGAGGCTGTGGTGTTCCATCAGGGCCCGAGGGTGACGCGGTTGTCGTTGCCGCAGTTGGGATGGGCGTCGGCGTCGTTGACGCGGACGCCGAAGCATCGCCGGACGGCGTCTGCACAGCAATAGCGGGCGCATCGACCTCAGCGCCACCCTTGGCATTGGCTTCGGCCGCCTTCTCCACCTCCGCGGCGTTCTTCTTCGCACCCTGAGCCTGAACAGCAAGGTCCAGCGTATTCTGGGGCTGACCGTCGGCGGGTACAGAGGCATAGCGCAAGAATAGCCGTTGCAACTCTGCGTCTGAGAGCGTCGACTATGCGTCATATTAGTAACGAGGATCTACAATGATGGATGAGAGACTATGCGTACCTTTTGCTGCAAGCGCATGAAAGCCTTCCATGCGTCCCACCCAAAGTAGCCGTGCCCATGCTCAGCCGCGACGCGCTTCCACAAGCGCTCCAACTCCGGCCTTGCCTTCAACAATCGTACAAAGCTGTACTCCTCATCAGTATCTCGATTCTTCTCGTTGTATGCGGGGATTAGTAAGTACTGACCGCGTGAAGTCCTCAAAGTCCAAGTAGCCCCTTCCTCTCGTATCAGCGGCGGCAAACGTCCTCGCCAGATCCTCGCGTCCAGGTTGAATGTTCAGCCTCCTGCAAAGCCTTGCAACGTCTTCGAACATGAGCTTCTCGCCCTCGACGGGCCCATACGTCTTCGTATTTGCATCAACGGCAGTCGTGCCATTGCTGGGCGAGGCGGATGTGGCAGCTGCGGCGCCGATAGAGGCCATGGCACCGTTGAGTGAAGGTGAGGATGAAGGTGTGCCGTCCATTCCCAGCCGCGGAGAGGAAGATGACGAAGGGATATCCATCCCCAGCCGTGGCGATGTCGACGAAAGAGACGGTGAGGCGGCGCCGGCCCAGTACCGCCGTGCCCAAGCTGCATCGCGTGCGGAAAGACCGCCTACGCCCGCGAGCAGAGCTTGTCGGGCTGCTACAAGCGCGCGAAGTGTGGAGTGCCAGAGGTTTGCAATCTGTGCTGGTAATCAGTACTGTGCTCGAACAAGCTGATGAGTGTATGTATACCTGCTCGTCCGGCGCCACAGCATTGAGCGTCTTCCACCTCGAGTCCAACGTATACACAACCGTCAGCCACCTTGGCTCAAGTGACGAACTGAGCTGCAACGCCTCCCGCGTCAGACGCGCGGCGGAGCCGAATCGAAGCTCGACGACGTTCTCCAGTGGGACTGTAGATGGATAAATGCATGATCAGCACGAAGCATGGTACGAGATGATCGAGATAAAGGAATAGAAGTTGAGATTGCGCGTCTATTGGTGACAGCAGGAATAATGAGAAGCGTATGACGCGGTGGCGCGGGATGAACACGAGGCAGTAAGCGCGCATGAGGCCGCTCGAACCGATGCAAGAGGCGGAGGCGGAGGGCATAGCAATAGATGAAATGGACGGTGCTGAAGCAGCAATGACGAGCAGATAGCATCGAGACCTATGACCATAACGTGGCGATGCGGTACGAGAACGAATGCCATGATGAGGGAATAATGGGGATGTCGAACTCGGACGCGCAAACAAAGGCAATAGAGATCGAACACTCACTGATGTGCGTCTTCTTGGTCTCCCAAACGACATGGCCTTGATCTGGGTCGAGCCTGAACACGATGCGTTGTTGTTTCTTGCCCGAGACCTTAGTAAGTGGGGTGCCAGCCTGTAGTAGCGCAGGTACGACAGGATCGGCAGGTATGCTTGAAGGCGTGATGGATGGGTTCGGCGTGTCGCCAGGTAGAAGGGTAGATTGTGATGTCTCTTGCGCGATAGACGTCGGGGAGATTATCGTGGCCATATTCGGGGTGAACCGAGGAGGGAACGAGGTCGAGGGTGAAGCAGAGAAAGACTGGCTTCGGCCGTGCCCTTGAGCCTGCGCGTGTGGCTCCACCGCCACGCCCCTCCTCCGTCGAACGGCCTCCTTGGCGTTATCCTTCAGTTCCTTCCCTCGGCTCACTGCTCGCTTCATCTTCCCTTTAAGCCCTCCAGCATGCGGATCGGGAAATAATGGCGGACTGAGTGAACCGGCGCTCTGTGCCCGCCGGTGCGCGGGCGAGCGTAAAGGCAAGACATGCGTCTGCGCGGGCGGACTGAGTTGACCAGAGGCGGTGGTGAGGCCCTGAGCGCGACGGAGAGAGCGCTGGTGCACGAGTGATGGCGCCGGCTCTGTCATGGCGAGAGTCCGAGAGGGAGGGGAGAAAGCAGATGTTTAGTCTGGCTGGAGCACCCCGGGCGCTGTATATCACTGCGGGTACATATACCGCGCGCTCGCGGCCGGGCGAGTCAACGGGGCTTGTCCGCACTTTGGGTCCTACCCACGATCTGCAACTGCCTCTTTCACTCCCCGGATGCTATGAAGCTTCATTCACGTCTTCTGGACTTGTAGCGTTGTTGGCTCTTCGAGTCACGGGCTATGCAAACTCGGCCTGCTGACGGTCCTCGCCGGCGCTATCGCCTTGCGCGCGCGCACGTTCGCGCATCTCTTGCTTTCCGCCATCATCGCGAGAATACGACCGCCCACCGCCTCCTCTGCCTGTGCACGGCCCATACGGCCGCTGTGATCTCTTGACCTGCCTCACGGTCACCTCCTTCACTTAGCCGCCCGTCTAATTCGCCACTCGGACATCCGCTTCGAAATTTGACGCCCATCATATCCCGCGGACGCCCAATTCTCAAGATGAATACGCCGTCTTCCTCGGAGTACGTTCCGTTCGCCACAGCTAGCTTCATCATACGCCGCTACTCGGACCGTCCCGCACTCATCGCTATGGTCTACAAGCTATATTGTAATCTGGCTCTCCGAACAAGGCTGTCGCCCTGCTTCTTCCGCACCCGTGTCCAAATCACTTGGTGCCTTCATCTCGACGGCCATCGTCATCAACTTTTCACATGCTACTTGTACCGCGACATCTGGACTTCAGCGCCATGGGCGTCTCTGGCTACCTTTGCATCGATCGGGCTGTACCTCTCTGCTCTGCTGATACTTGCCTGCGTCCCCGCCCCTTCGAAGAATGCCCTTAGACACGATATATGCAGAAGATATCTACAGGCCGCGCGGCATTTCCTAGTCTTCAAGCCCACGCAGGATCGACCTCAACCTCACCAACCTCATAATTCAATCATATAGCACCTACGCGCCCACCCCGATCTTCGCTCTGATCACCCGCAACAAGTACTGGGTTGTCATACTAGGATTGTTCCGCAAGCACCGCCCTCGGACTACAGACCACGAAACACATTGGGGTTCGCGCGTCTAGACTCTGCCTACCTCGGACCGCGCCCAGTCGTGCCCACCGCGTCTCCCGCTTGAGCGTCCTATGGGACATCATGCCTTCATCTGGCTTTACATCTTGCCCTCTTCGTCATCTTGGCGTTTGCTTTGCTCTTACCTCCCAAAGAGAGCATATCGCTTCTCTGGCTGCGGACCTTCTTCCAGCTACCCCTACCTACCTACGTCCTCCGGTCTTCGTCGCATGACCACTACAGCACTCGCTCTGTCGATCGTTATTGACTTGACAAATGGAGCCCTGGATGCTGCGCTGCGTCGATCCAGACATCTTGGTACCCACATAATGCTCGTCAAGGACATGAAGCATAGGCTCAAGGGTGAACCGATGCATTGATCCTCTCTTTGGACTAATGACTTCCGCTCCACTCCCTCGTACCCACATTCGACCGGTCTCCACTTCCGGCTTGCTCACCTTCGTATGCCGCCGTCTCTTTCTGCCCCTCCAGTTTGCTTATAACTCGCTGTAGACCGGTATATTCGCTGCGACTGTTGCAACCTTTTTGACGCAGAGCTTCGAGCAACTCCAGCCTGACACCGCTTCTCAAGCCGTCTTCGTCGGAAATCAAACCGTCTACCTTCTTGCGCAGCTCGTCTCGGCGAACAATCCCACGCTCGCCGTACCTAATCCGGACATATCGTCCAGTCCATTCATCTTCGAAGCGCCGACGTCCGCCGTCGTCCTGAACTCCCTCTGGTTCCTTAGCCTTGTCATCTCCCTCGTTTGCACACTTCTAGCGACCCTCGTGCAGGAGTGGTCGCGAGACTTTCAGCGAGCCAGCTCACGCCGCTTCACAGACAAGACGGTCAAAGAAGCCGCCTTCAATCACATATATCAGCGCATGGGCGTCGATCGCTTCGGACTGGACTACATGACCTCTATCATCGTCGGATTGATTCATGTCTCGGTCGCCCTATTCCTCGTGGGCCTGGCGATCTACCTTGTCCCTATCCACCGCGTCCCTGCGTTGGTGGTCATCATATCCTCCGCACTTGCAGCAGCGTTCTATGTCGCGGCGAGCATCATACCCGTCTTCGCCCACGATTGCCCGTACTATACGTGGCTTACACCTGTCATTGGTCGCCTCTGCTGGCTCGTGTACACTTTGATATTCATTCTATCGAATCTGGTGCGGGAACGCAGCCGCTTGCACAATCGAAACCAGAAGATGGACTTTTCCATCTTCATAGCCCTCTTCAAGGGTGTTAGCAGATACACCTATGAACTCTTTGATTCCGAGGTAGACTGGGTGTTCATGAAGGACCTACCGCACGATCTCAAGACTCACGACCTCGTCTCCCGTTGGCTGAGAGGGCGCAGCACCAATTGGGATTCGTTCATGAATGGATCTCGTTTGGCTTTCGTCTGGGAAAGGATGAGCGGATACCTGCTGCTAGATCCTAAAGAGAACAAGGACGCCATCGGCGCACTTCTCGATCATCTCCCTCGTCAGATGCCAGATACCGATATCAAAAGCGTCTCCGCGTTCATAGTCCACTTGCGACGCCGGGAGAGGTTCATGAACCCTCTAGTAGACCGGATGAGCGAGGTCAACTCAGCGGCCACTGCCGTAGGATCTCTCAAACTCCTGCAAGTGCTCATCGATGCGCATTCTTCTGATGCATCGATGTACGACTATCTTGGCAATCATTGGAAGACTATGGATGATACCGTTGCGAAGGACTTTACGCGTATTCTTGAGCAAATCTGCTCAGTTCACAGGAGTGTCTTATATGGCGTCGGGAAGGAGCACGCTCCTAGTTCCCCGACCGGCACTGCTCGTGGCGGTGACCTTTCCGTGTTGATCGCCGTGACCAAGCTGCGGAGAACTCTCTTGCGAAAGAGGGACGAGCTGCTTCGCGCAGAGTTTACTCTCAGAGACGATACAGAGCGGCGAACGCCGCCCAATATCGACAAGATCAAGCCCTTGGATAAGATGCTGCTATGCCTTGAGCAAGTGCAAGACTTCCGTTTGCTCCCTCTGCTCGAGCGTCATGCTAATGACAATGGGGCTACGTCTGGGGCTACAAGGGCTCTTGAAATCGCTCCGTCTCCTGGAGATTCTCCCGGGATTGCGCGCTTGAGGGAGGATCTCGATCGTTACGACCCGGCATTGGGCCCTAAGCTCACCGCCCAGAACATGCTGACATTGGTGGCGTATCTCATCTGGTTCGAGCTGCAAGCCGCCGACAAAGCCCAGCAATCCCACAGTACGCTGGCCGGTACATCCTACCCCGCCATGTTTGAATTTGACGACACCAGTCGTGACGAGAACCTTTCGCATCTATTGGGCTGGATCGAAAAGAACGCTGATGAGAACAAGATGATAGCGTGCACTTCCGACCAGCAATTGTCCGCCGTGTTCATGCGCCTGTCTGGTATATGCACTGACATGCTCAACCTGCGTGCGAAGACGTCACAAGGTCAGACCCAGTTCGAACTCGACGAGCTCAGGCAGAATCAGGGTGGCAGGAAGGCCATCAGAAATTTGTTCAATCACATTCTTCGACGAGTTCCCCACCTTCGTCTCCCAACGGCAAACCCTAGCACAAATCATGGGTCATCCGCTGTAGATCGGGTTGCTGAGAGTCTGAAGATGCTTGCTGAGTTCTGCATCTTCAGTCCCGCACATCGGGAGCCACCTCGCGCAGCTGTCGCGCCCCAGCGCATATCGCTGACCCTTCCTCAATTAAAGGCACTCGGCCTGGGTTTTGGTGTTCGGCAGAAGTCGCACGTGCCGGTGACCAAGGATCCCGCGATGAGACCGAATGAGGCGCGGACGGACGATGCCCTTCGAAATCCGACTATCCGACAAGATCATGATGCTCCCGGACAATCCCGGGGCGACGGCACAATTACTCTTCCAGACGTGTACGTTACTCTCACCAACGCCGAGATGAACGAACTTGGGATAGAACTCTCTGTCCGACGCGAGCTGGATATCAAGATCGAGTCCGAGGAGTTAAGGGCAGATGACGGTCAAGGGACGGTTGACGATGGACTTGCGAATACGCGTTCGCCGCATTTAGAGCCTGCTGCTGCACATCTGGCCTCAACGACGTTGCAGGGAGATGGACCCATGAGTGAACTGTTCGGGAAGCGCGCAGCAGCCTGATGAAGGGGCCGCCCATACTGTCCAGAGCAGACCTGTAGGGCCGCCCATGATTGGGAACCAATTGCATGCTCGTCGGTGGTCAGAGCAATTTACGTAGATTGCGTAAATAGATGTCAATGAAAGAGCAGAACCATTGCGTTAAGAAGGTACAATCGTGAGCAGAGGGAACACGACAGCTCGGAAAAGAATGCCTTGCGTCTGAAACTCGCGGCACTATCAGTATCTAAGTGCTGAAGCGCCGAGTCCGGGTTCTACTGCGTTGTGGGCAGATACGCAACTGGATAGAGCGACAACGCAGATTGCCTTGTCAAAGGAGCGAATAGAGTATTTCCGGTGAGCGGTTACTATGTAGGGTTCAAGGGGGTCATATTGTGGCGCGGGTCAAGCGCGGGTACCCAATACCCGCGGCTCGGAAACCCAGCCCGGGATTTGCCACCGCGGCAACAGCTCCCACTCAGGCCCACTCTCGACTACTATTGCACGCATATCATGTAGTCCCTGGCTCATCATCATTCGTGCTGCATAATTCACGCCACCGTGTCAAGAGGACCATCGGTAGTGTTTTGCTCCTACAATAATATACGATAAGTACCCATCTGAATATCGTCACGAATACAAATCAACATACCCCAGACTCTGACGACTGCGGGGGCTGCAACGGCTCCAAGACATCCCAGATATGAACTGTGTTATCATACGAGCCCGACACAATACGGGCCCCATTTGGAGAGAATGCGACAGATGCAACCCCAGCTCCATGCCCTGTATACGGCTTTGCAACTGGGTTTCCCGTGCTCGCGTCAACGATATGGATTTCACCGTTACTGGTGCTGAAGATGACGCGCCGAGAGTCCGGGGAGAATCCGACGCAGTTGATCCATTCATCAGGCTGGGATGAATCGCCTACGACTCGCCATGTATCCACGCTCCATATGCGGACCGTCCCGTCCTTCGAACCTGAGACAATGTGCGTGCCGTCTGGGGAAAAGGTGACGGACGAGACAGACGCGGTGTGATCCGCGAGCGGAGGAACGGCCAACTGTCCCGTTTCGACTGTCCAAACCCGGATAGTATTGTCATCAGACCCTGAGACGACGGTTCTTCCATCCGGAGAGAACGCGACAGCAAAAACATAGTCTGCGTGACCACTCCAAGGCACTCCGATCATCTCCTTCGTCTTCGCATCCCAGAGTCGAAGTGTAGTATCGTCCGATCCTGAGATGATATACTTCCCATCCGGGGAGAAGGCAACACATCTAACCCAGTCCTCATGGCCCACTAGAGGTTCTCCGACCGCCGTATAACCCGAGTCAACATCCCAAATCCGGATGGTGCAGTCGTCTGAGGCTGACACGACATATTTGCCGTCCGGAGAGAATGCGACGGACCTGACAGTGCTATAATGTCCCTCTTCCGGCTCTCTCACAGTCTGCCCCGTTTCAGCATCCCAGATCTTCAGATGGCTATCGTACGAGCCCGAGACTATGTGTTTCCCATCCGGAGAGAACGAGACGGACGTGACAGTACTACCGTGACCAGTCAGGACTATAAACATGACGTCAAGACCAGAAAGACTAGGTGGAAAAATCGACATGCTCACCTTGGACAGAATCCGTGTATTGTACGAGGAATCGATGTGCGATATCTAGCTCTCCTTTGTTGGCCCCTTCCAGATGGCGCAAGATGCGCGGTCGTACGACCCTATAGAGCCCCAACCCTCTCTCAGGCCGATCGTCCCAGCTCTCTAAGAGCACGTCCAAAACACTGCATAGCACGGGACCTTTGACTGGCTTGCGTGTGAGGTACTCTGTCGTTCCGAGTTGCAGCCGTTCATCCAATTCACGAACAAGTGCGCGGCGACCTTCCACTACCCGCTTTCATGAGTACCGGGAAAGAACGCGAACAGGGAACAATGCCGCACCCGAACTTGCATGAACACGCATTGTCATGAGTTGCGTGCGCTGTAGGTCGTCTGCGAGGTTGACAGAATCATGACCGGTGTACTGAAGCACAAGACTTCCAACCAGATCGTACAGGTCAACCTCCTTCCAACGGTTCTCGTAGGTGCCATCTACCTGGAGAATCTCGTGCTTTGCGACATTGGCCCAGAAATTTTGTTCGGATAGCGGAGGACGTGCGCGCGGCGTGTCAGCCCTGCAGGGCCGCGGTTTGATAACCGGCCATCAATTAGAAGGGCTGATTATCAAATCGGCTATCTTAGATAACCCGATTATCTTCATCTAAGATACTATAGACTGGCTCGCATGTCAACTCAGGTACATACAGTGGCAATAGAAAGCAAGATATGTACCTGTTGCAAGAACACGAGAGTCAAGGGAGAGAGAGAAGTGAACAAGAAAAGCCGATTGCAGGACTGGGGACTCTATGGTCATCCTGAAAGACACCTACATACTATTACTACAGATGCCGAGTGTCACTCGGCCATCTCTGAGCTAACTCCCAAAGCTCCCCCACCGACTCCTAAAGCAGGCCTTGTCTCCGAATGGCTGCAGGCAACACGGGCCGTGGCGACGGCGGCGGCGTCACGTGACCATGACGCGAAAAAAGCCGAATCCGAACAGATCCGAACATGTTCAGCGATGAACATGTTCATGACATGTTCATAACATGTTCATACAGGGGTCTTAGAGCTGTGGCTTGAATTGCGAGAGCCGGGCAATCTTCACCCTAGCATCTGCAAGGGAGCCAACGTCCTCCTTGCGGAATGTCGCCGGCATGTCTTTCCAAGCAGTACTATCGGTGATATGGTGGCGTATCTCGAAGGCGTAGTGGCGCAACACTAGGCTTCACACTGCTCATCAAGATCATTCATCATCATGATCTGTGAGTGTTTGGTCAGAGAAAATGTATAGCGCAACGTACTTGAGAGTTCGGTCTCTTGTAACACTCACTTGTATATATCACACGTCTTCGAGTGTCAAGGATGGATCATCCCCATCACGTAGTGTATCCTTGAGCCTGAGTGCATCATCATCCTCGCAGTCTGTCTCGAGGTCTTGAGTTGATTCGGTACCGCTGTCATTACCTGGATCATCACCGTCTAGATCCTCAGACACCTCCTCGATGTTAACAGGACCCGGGGTGCGAGCAGAACCGAGTCCATTGTCTTCGGGCGACAGCTCGTTGAGTGGCGGGAGGGGTTGGCTACAACCGGTGGGTAGTATATGAGCTTCATTTGGGAACAGGCAGTGCACAGACACACCAGTATTCTCGGCGTATTGAGCACACACCGACTCATAGTCGCCAGAGGTAGTTTTGCCTGTTCATGAATAAGTCTGCAATGAGAGCACCGACCACAGACAAGTTCATAACATGTTCTGCGCGGGCCGAACACAAACATGTTCCCCGCGGACCGAACACAGACATGTTCCCCGCGGACCGAACACAGACATGTTCGGTGCTAACATGTTCGGCGAGGGCCGAACACAAACATGTTCAGCGCCGGGCCGAACAGAAACATGTTCAGCGAAGGGCAAACACGAACATGTTCGGCCCCGGCCGAACACAAACATGTTCGGCCAGGGTCGAACAGAAACATGTTCAGCGCTCAGCGCCGGGCCAAACAGAATCATGTGAGGGTCGAACACAAACATGTTCGGCGAGGGTCGAACACAAACATGTTTAGCGTCGGGCCAAACACAAACAAGTTCAGCGAGGGTCGAACAGAAACATGTTCTGTGAGGCCTGAACAGGAACATGTTCAAGCGATATTCTGCAAGCCAGCAAGGAAGACATGCCTGTTTATCGTGAACATGTCCCGCGAAAGAGACACAAATATATCGCGCGGACATCCCGCCGCTGAGAGAAACGGAGATACCGTGATCTTTGACAGGAACATAGGCGCAAATCAGCTTAGACGTACCAACTTCAGGTTCACGAGGCGATGCAAATGTGAGTCGAACAACAAGAGGGAGGTCGGTGGTGAGCAGACAAAACCAAATACTGGGACATCAGTGCGGATCGAAGCAGTGGGCCCCAGGTCGGGCAGGAAAGAGATGAAGCTCGGCATTTGCCGTGACTGAACGTGGCTTCACGTGTTTCCTGTGTTCAAATCTGATCAGATCATGTTTGCATCAAGATCTGCCAAACATGTCGAACATGTTTAGTGCCCAACTGCTAGATTGACATCTACATCTATAGACCCTACGGCGCTTTCCGTGACTACACATACATGTCAGTTGTACATATATACTAAGTACGTGCCCATGGAGTGTCGCAAATAAGCTTCCGACGCGCGGCACGCGCGCCGGCGATCAGGGCGATTTGATAATCGGTCCTATCAATTGTTATCGGGTTTGATAATCGCGGCCCTCCGCCTATGGGCGTGTATGTCGAGTCGGTCGTGCCCAAGTTTTTTAGGCGCCATACCGATGGGTGGATCTTCTGACCGTCTAGGATGACGCGGCCTTTTCCACGATGGGGCGGCCTAGAGATATTCGATGTCAAGCGTAAGCGGGGTGTGAACGTCGGCGGACTCAAGTACACACACCAAGAGACTGTTCCATCTATTTCTTGACGTTCTGTTGCTACTTGTGAGTGCCTCAAAGTGTCCAACGCATGTTGACGAGCTTCCGCTCGGGCCTCCATTTCCCGATAATCCTCCGCACTCAACCAGTACTTCGCCGCTTCCTCCCAGTATCCCCCCGCCTCATGCCTATCCTTGGTCGTGTCCTGATTCCCCATCGATCCTGCGTCAAATGCTGGCTTCACTCCGTCACCGCTCTCGCCAGTGACACCATCCGAAACCTCATGTGTGCTTGATGCACCAACATAGCCTTCACACCTTGTTCGTACGGTTGACGGGAGTAGGACCCACAGAACTTCAACCATCAGCCACAGAGACTGAAGAATCATCCACGCCAATTGGGCCACCAGCAAATTCGATTCGAGCGCGGGCCGGACAAGCATCCGTAGTATGCGACTTAGCATCCAGAAGACCCAAGCCGAAGTTTCGAACCGGATCCATTCAACACAGGGCTCCCTGGCGTCGGCCATGTTGTACGTGAGGCGCCGAAACGGGAGATGTTCGAAGTACTCCCAACCGGACGTCAATGACTCGTTGATGGTGATCTCCTCTTCATCTTTGAACTCGCGTTTGAAAGGAACCAGGTGAAGCCCGGCCGAAGACGCCTCGAAGAACATCCACCTGAGAGAAGGACGCGTGCGGTTCAGTGTCGGATTTGCCTCGATCCCCCCTCCTCTGTGGGCCATGTATCAGATTGAGTATCACATTTTTTCCAGGGGAAGCGCGTACACATCAGAGTGTGTCCCCGCAAACCAGACCTCCTTCGTGTGATGATATCTCCCAGGGATCTTGACCGGCTCTGATGGACCTGCACCTCCATTTGCGTACTCCGGAAGAAATTTGATGCGACGTTCATCGAGCGCCAAAGCATGCCGGAAGTAACAAACGTGCTTCATTCCGTCGATCGTTCCCGGCAATGGCATTCGACTCCGCACAATCCCGATCGATGATACTGTGTCCCTAGAACAGGTAGACGTCAGAAAGTAGCACTGTACGGATGAGGCCAGAGAACACAAACCACACGCCAACGAAATGCACCTTTACCCTACGTGAGAACGTGTCCTTGAAGGTATCAGATGGGGATATGGACCCCTGGAGAGACGATGCCGCGGCGGCGGTGAGTCCATTATCCAAGTCCGCATACAGTTGATAGGCGCTACAGTTGAGCATATCAGAAATGTCGTTGTCGTCATACATAGACCGTGCTGAAGGCTCACAACGGGATCTGTGCCTCATTGCCCCGATGAATCAAGCCAACCTATGACCGGTGTCAGTACACGTCGTGATAATCCACATACAGTGCCATGACTGCACCTTGTCTATCATGGCAGAGAGCGTGCGAACTTGGTACGCCCCACGAGAGAACCCTACATGCCGACGGTGAGATTGCAGGCCGCAGGCCTCGTCGTGAGACTCCGAGGTCAACACTCACCAAAGAGGAAGATACAATCACCGTCCTCATATGTTTCTGATAACCATCTGTAAGCATCAAGCACGATACGCTCAAAGTTCCTGTATACATGATCGACCATTGCTCAAGACAGAGATGCCAAGATAAGTCGCACCATGCAATGGCAAGGTCGACTTTATGACCGAACACTTGCTTGTACCATGCCCATGATTTCCAGGACGGCCGGGCATACGTTCCAATCCCACTATTATAGTATGTTCGCTGTTGCTTGTTGTCACCCTGTCCTCTTCCGTCTTTCGGAACGAGGCTATACAACTCTATCACATTCGTATTCTGTTACGCCTGATTGAGCCACGTGCAACTGCGCGCATAGCAAGTTTTACAGCGCACCATCTCTCCAAACTGATTCGATGTGCCATCGATGCAAACGACCAGATTCCGCCCCTCCTTGGAGCAGTCGCAAGTCATGGGCCGCACCGGAGACGATTTATCGTTTGGGCGACGTTTTCGGTCTAATGGCTCGCGCGGGCTGTCGTTGACTGAACGGTGCATGTTAAGTCGGCACAGAATAGAGGACTTGCACATGCCAGATTGAACTCACCAATTTCATTGTCCACCAGCGGCGGTGATGGGATGCCATCGACTGCGTGTCAGGGTTTCGTCAGCACAGGGCCGGGTATGGTAGGTGAAATATAATCACCTGGCAATGGCACGAGCCGGAGTCCAGCTTCGGGACCTTCCATAGGGTAGATGAAGGGCGAGGGAAGTGACAGGACTGACTGAAGTTCGGTGATGGTGGGGATGAGGAAGAGCTTGCGGGTACTCGGAGGAGGCTTCAAGGAGATGCCCGCGATGTTGCCGCATGCGGCGCCTCACGGTATCCTCCGCTACATGGCATGCTGCATGCCTCATGAGCGCTACATCCAGAGTTGTGCCGCGTATGCCACTCGATCATGACATTGACAGCCCGCTAACGTGTGCCTTCGATTCCAGTGCGAGTGATAGAGATCTTGGGCGTCTACATCTTCCCATACCCGTCAGCATGAAGGCACCATGTCGTCTTCTCATTCAATCAGGATGTGCGCCGAGATTGCGCTCCAACACCCCGTGCTGACTGGGACCAAGGCATGTGCACGGCTACTTGTTGCCTTGTGCGTCGATGCCTGCCGAGCATGCTTCAGCCTCAGGCCGGTGATCCAATAGAACACCTTGAGAATCGACGGACACGGCCCTGGTGGAGGTCACGGACTCGAGTTTCGCTAGACGATTTTCTTCGGACGATGGCGTGTATCATGGTGAGAGTGGTGCTTAGGCGTCCGCAGGGAATGACAGGGGCTCCGTCGATGCTGGTAGTTGGAATTCCGACACGTAGGCCCTGGGCCCGTCATTCATCCGAGCGGCTTTGGCAGTGCGTGCCAGAGTATATGAAACGAGCTCGAGCGCTCACGGGAGATGCCTTCATGGACGCAGGTGGTGACCTCAAAATAGCGCAACGCACCCCTCCCCTCATAATCATGAGAATCGGGCCGCGTCCCAACCGCGTCCGAAGTCCCGAAGCGCTGTGCCACACGCGGCTCGGAAGTTCGGACCGAGAGTCATCATACTGCTGTCCCACTCGAATCGGAACCTTCGTTTCGCTCACCACCTTCACTGTGCGTCCCTCTCTGTCCATCTTGCTACGTACAGTGGCACGCTAGTATCTAGCGCGGAAAAATCACTGCGGGTACCCACTACACCATTCTCATAATGGCCAAAGCCTCTTCCACTCAACCCAAATGCGCTGGCCGCGTCGCCAGCAGCTCCAAACGCGCGCGGTCGTCGAAGACCGCTGAAGAACGCGTCGCCGAGATGCGCAGGAAACACGAGATTGCTGCTGATAACGCTAAAAAGCGCCAGCTGTGGAAAGAGATGAAGGAACTGGGTCTAGGTGCGTTGTTTCTTGGCGTCGAGGCGGGGACGGGCTGGCTGACGGGCTTGGCTTGTAGGGAGCTATATCAAGATGGGAACCCGTAGACGAGGCAGGAAGTGACGGGTATCCTTGGCACTTCGATTACTATAGACGAGCTCTGCTGCGCTGCTTCTACTGCTCACGAATCAATACACTCTCATGACATTGCTCACCCGCCCGGAACCGGCTCTGACGCGTCCAGCTTGAGGTGCTGTGGATAGAACATGTGTCCTCATCTTCGAGAGTGGGCATTACTTTTCATTTCCATCGTAGCCTAAAGCGTGCATGCCCTTCCAAGAACAAAAGCAGTGCATTGTGAAGTACGATTGCTACGAGCGCATGCTTTACATGAGAATGCTCTATAGATGACGCATTTACTAACCAATCTTTGACCCTAGACGCAAGACCAGCCATGGCCGTCAATGCTCGAGCAACCTGCCAGATTGACTCCTCAATACGATGGAGAGAGTATCCTGAACGGAGTGAACCTGCGAACGGGCAGTCAGTGACTTTTCATGAGAGCACGAGACATCAAAGTAAAGAGAACACCTGTCAAAAGCATCACAACGGCCTGATACGTTGTTCAGGACAGATAGCCAGTTCGTACTGCGGTAGCATAGGGCTCCGTATAGCGATGTCTCGTTCAATCCGCATCGAGATCCAAGCGCGCCACGCTCGGTGACCTTCGAGCGAACAGTCAGTGACGGGAGGGATGGGCTGAACAGGGAAGGCACGTACGTGAGCCACGACGGCCGTTATATACATCTCCGAGGCCGGGCTGCGCGTCCTCGCTTGCTCATGCATCCTGTGCCGCGTACGAGAAGTTCTCGTTATGCACGGGCAACTCTGTCGACAAGATGGGGCACACCCTGGGTGTGCGCTGAATACAGAGTCGCAAGAGCTGTAGCCACATGGAAACGAGATGGCGGTTCGCGCTGCGTTCTTCCCCGCGTCAGCTCGGATCCAGCTGCTCCTCCAGACCAGCGTCACCCATCAACGTCACGTTAGACTCAGGTTTCAGTCGATTTGCGGTGTAGTGAGGCGAGAGGCTGGAGAGAAGGCAGCTACGGCCCGGAGCACACGATAGATGCAGGTGCGACCACGGGCGCGGACCAACATCATCGTACGGTGAGCGTTCGGGAAGAGTGCGAACGGAAGAGATCCTGAACGGATCAAAATTAAACGGATCAGAGGCGGACCGCTCGCGCTTCGGTCCTACGTCATGCTTTGCCTCCGACCTTGACTTCGACTTTGTACTTCCTTCAGTGTCTACCTCCCCGCCTGCCGTCACGAACTCTTTTCAAAGGACAATGCGACAAGAGCTTCCGGTATGCACGCCTTCTGGCGCACGAGTTGCCACAAAATGAGAGGGAGGAGCAAGGTGCGCCTTTCTCTTGCTCATGGCTGGCGCAACGCTGACCCGATCTTCTAAGCAGATATACTTCTCTCGGGCACCTATCGATCATAGATGGCATTCTAATCTATATCTAATAGAGAGGCAAGGAAGAGGATGTGTGACCTGTCTGAGCGGTGGGGCGAGCGGGCGAGCGGGCGAGTATACGCTATGCTCTCGCGGCGGGGCTTACAACCCGGCGACGGCGCCGGTGCCCGTCAACGCCCTTGCATGTATCTACATAATTTCAACGCCACGCACTATGTTAATGATATGAAGTGCAACTCACATCTGCTAGGTATCCATGGCCGAGTTGAAGGCGGTAGAGGTCTATCCAGTTGATGATCTCGCCATGACTACCACCCTTTGCGTGCGCGCGCTCGTGCACTCTCTGCCCAGTTCCACAGACATACAGCCACCACTGTGCCGCCTCATCTTGAGTTCGTATATCTTGTCCACCGCATACAACTCCCTGCCGTCAAAACAGTTTATCTGCCTCGGCATTCAGCGCTCGTCAACGCCGGGTCTTGTTTATCTCAACACCGGACTTCGCGATTCTGAAGGTGCTGTGGATGTACCGATTCACCAATGCCCATCATTTTCGTTGCACCAACACCAAAATCGTGCGTCTCGGCTCGCTGCTCTCACCACCGCTGCTTGCAGTGCTTCACGCCGTCATCTCGAGCACCCCCAACGATCCTGCGCCCTTGTCCGGATGCTGGATGAAGGTGAACTAGATGGTGAGTTCTCGGTGAAGTCTGGACTGGGGTTGCCTCGCCTTTGTCCGCGCTTACTTCAAGGCCTGCCGTACTGGGCGAATGAACTGTAGCATGCTGCTGGCGTCTCGGAACGAGCCCGTCTTGCTTAGACATCGGGGCCTCTTCACTAGGTTGTCAGTGTATCGTCGCTTCTTGCACCTATTCAACTCTGCCCTCATATAAGAGATCCAATTCAACGCATAGACCCGTGCACGTTGGAGCATAGTGACATCTCGGCACGCTTTTTTGTATATCGTATCCTGCACACACACCGATTATGCTTCCGCTCACGATTGAGCAGCTTGTAGAAATCAAAGCATAGAGCATATATCAATAACTTGTGAGGTTATTATCGGGAGCGAAGTTTGGGTATAGGATAAGGTGATATTAGCCTCTTTCAAAGTTGAGTTAAGGGAGGCCTTAACTGACCTCCCGAAGACCTTAACTCGACGCGCGTCGATAACCGCGTCGTCGGTGCCAGATCACTGATGTCGGTGATGCCCGCAGAGCCGAAAGTGCGGTGGGCCTCGCGTGTACTGTATTCGCTTTCCCATATCCTCGCAGTGTTTCTATTCAAACACCGTGCACCGTAGCAAATAGATACTCTTGCTAGTGACAGCAGTTCGGAGGGCTGCAGCGCGAGGGCGAAGGCGGATGTCTGATCCCTGCCATATATATATTGAATTTTCGTCCTATGTGTACACGAAGTCGGATCGGGCTGCGCGGATTGTCCCTTTCTCAGCATAGCGTACATCTACATGGGCTAGCATCTCTATGGGTGAAAGTAACCGTAGGTTCGAGGAGGAAGTCGGCGGGCACACGCGGAACTATGGTGCAGTTGAATTAGTACGGCCAAGGTGCCCGCACTTTCGGCCCTGCGGGCATCACCGACATCAGTGATCCGGCACCGACGACGTGGTTAACGACGCGCGTCGAGTTAGGGTCTTCGGGAGGTCAGTTAAGGCCTCCCTTAACTCAACTTTGAAAGAGGCTATTGATTAAATAACAGTCCAATTGTCCGGGACATACAAGCAGTCATAAAAGCCATAACGGTACAAGACCAGAATAGCGAGGATTCAGACCAAGTTGCCTTCACACATTCATGTAACAAACATAGATCATGGGTTCGTGGTCGCGTTGAGTTATGCTGAATTGCCGCGTCCGGCAACGGCGTTCCCATGGACCTGTAAGGACAGTGTCAGTTGTTGAACGATGCCGGAGTGAAATGACATACATCTATCTCCTGGGACTGCGGCAGCAATGGCTCCAATACGTCCCAGATCCGAATCGTCCTGTCCCACGACCCCGACACGACGCGCGTACCATCCGGGGAGAACGCAACGGACGTGACATCGCTAGTGTGCCCTTCATACGGCTTCCCCACCATCTCTCCCGTTTCTACATCCCAGATCCGAACTGTACAGTCGTCCGAACCCGAAACGACGTGCAGACCGTTCGGCGAGAATGCGACGGAGAAGACAATGCCGCGGTGCCCCTCGAATGGCTTCCCCACAACCTTTCCCGTCTCCGAGTTCCAGATCCTGAGCGTATTGTCGCGCGAGCCAGAGACGACGCGCGTGCCGTCCTGCGAGAATGCGACGGAGAAGACCATGTCGGTATGCCCCTCGAGCGGGTCTCCCACTATTTGGCCCGTTTTGACGTTCCATATCCGGACGGTGTTATCGTGAGAGCCCGAGACGACGCGCGTGCCATCTGGAGAAAACGCGACAGACATGATAAAGCTAGTGTGCCCCTTCAACGGCTCTCCGACCGTCTGCCCCGTCCTCGCATCCCATATTCGAAGCGTACCGTCTTCCGAGCCCGAGACGATGCGCTGCCCATCTGGCGAGAACGCAACGGACCGAACCCAATCAGTGTGCCCTTCAAACGGCTTACCCACTACCTGTCCATTCTCCACATCCCAGACTCGAACGGTACAATCGTCTGAGCCCGAGACGACGTGCTTGCCGTCTGGGGAGAATGCGACAGAGTTCACATCGTCATCGTGCCCGAATGGCTTCCCCACCGTCTCTCCAGTCCTCCCATCCCAGATTCTGACCATGTCGTCGTACGAGCCCGAGGCGATGCGCTGGCCGTCAGGCGAAAACGCGACCGAGAGGATGGGTCGGTCATGACCAGTCAAAACTACATTGTAGCTCCGTCAGTAAGTTTCATCGTGGAAGGTGGCGGTCTTTGGCTTTGCCTTGCACGGTATCTGTGAACTGCAGTAAGAATTGCTTTGCGACCCGAAGTTCATCGTGGTTCGCCCCCGCGAGGTGTCGCAGCATCAATGCTCGCAAGGTTCTGTACGGGGAAATAGCCTTGGCTTGACGACTAATGTCCGAGGCCTCCAACACGACCTGTAAGATCCTGCAAAGAATCGAGCAATTGAGAAGCTTCGGTTCAGGATTCTTGTCAGCATGAGCCCTCGCAAGCTCTAGCCGCTTGTATAACTCGCGGACGACCGCTTTCTGACCCTCGCCTGCCACCTTGTCAGGACATGTAATCCATACCCAGATGATCTAGCAAGCCTCAGGGCGCACCTGATCTGACGTGACTGCGAATGGCCTCTAGCTGACTGCGCTGTGTATCGTTATCCTTCTGTACCGAGTCGTAGCTGGTATATTGCCGGACAAGGTGTTCTACCATGTCATACAGATCGACCTCCCTCCACGGGTTGCGTTCGGTCCCATCGGGTTGAGGTCCTTCCCCGTCCTTCAGCTTAAGTTGGTCCCAAAAGCCTGTATCTCGTGAGTACAAGCGAGCACGCGGGATGTAATCGGTGCCAAGGTACTTGGAGCGCCAGACAGATGGATGGATTTTTTGCCCTTCTTGAATAACGCGCACCCCACCTGCGTGCGGTCTTGACGTCACGTGAATCGGATGCTCAAGATGTATCAGATACGGATGCGTACTGATGGGTTGTATCTTTGCCCGCCTCCTCAGTCTCCGCAAAGTACGTCAAGCGCCGCAACGGCAGGTACTCCAATAGCCACCAGAAAATGCCAGTCAAGGATTCGTTGACCTTGATATCTTCGACATCTTTGCGATTGAGCTGGAGAGGGTCAAGATGAAGTCCGGCTGCAGACGCCTCGGAGAACATCCATCTGAGAGATGGACGTGTGCGATCGAGACTCCGATTCTCCACGTTTCCACCGCCTCTGCATACACTCATCAGTGATGAATTGATCACGAGAAGAATAATACTGACATGTCTGAGTGCGTCCCTGCAAACCAGACCTCTTTTGTATGGTTCGCATCGGCGTGATCGCCATGTCCCTTGGACCTTCCCCCATGAGCGTACTCAGGAAGGAACTTGACTCGGCGTTCGTCCAGTGCGAGGGCGTGTCGAAAGTAGCAGACGTAATTCATGCCGTCGATGGTTCCGGGAAGAAGCTTCCTACCGCGTACGATCCCGATCGACGATACGGTATCCCTAAAGACGAGGTGTAAGAGGGAATGCGCGAGAAGACGGTGGGCAAGCCATACGCACCATGCGCCAACAAAATGCACCTTCACGTTGCGCGAGAACACCTGCTTGAACCGTTTGGCCGTGCGTATGAGACTCGGTTCTGCTTTTGACTGTGACGAAGTGGGCGCTTCCGATTCATGAGGTGAAGGCGAAGATGGTCTTGAGTCGTGCAAGTCGGGAGAGGAAGCCGGCGAACGCCCTGCATCGGCGTTGGACGGAGGTTCCTCCGTGATGGGGAGGTCGCTGTCAGGGTCGGAATACCATTGATAGGCGCTGAGGAGTGTGATCAGCACTAGCGAGTGGCACGAGCGTTTGAGCGCCCAATCTTACAAAGGTATCTGCTTTTCGTTGCCGCGATGAATGAGTCCAACCTGACATTTCCATCGTTACCCTCATGAACTACATAACACACGCCGTGGCTTTACGCACCTTCTCTATCATCGCGGACAATGTTCGGACTTGATACGCCCCGCGAGAAAAGCCTGGCGAGTATGGATATAAACCGATGCAATGAAGAACTCGGTCATACCAAAGAGATAGATGCAGTCGCCGTCCTTGTATGTCTCTGAGAGCCAGCGGTAAGCGTCCAGGACGATGCTTTCGAAGTTCCTGGAAGTGCGGTTAGCTGTAGACCCGGAAAATACGTCACGATAACACGCACCACGCAATGGCAAGGTCTATCTTGTGAGCAAGTACTTGCTTGTACCACGACAATGACTTCCATGACGGCCGGGCATACGTTCCGATCCCGCTATTGTACCACGTCAGCTGGCCGTCGCTCTCTCCCTTCTGTATGAGACTATAGAGCTCGATGACATTGGTATTCTGTCAGTCGTCGGAAGTCAGGATCGTGGAACCTTTTGATATCGAAGCCACAACCCAAGTTGACGTACCTTCTCGCCGAACTGATTCGAGGTGCCGTCGATACACACGATAAGATTCCTGCCTGTCGTTTTACTACAGCCACAGGTCCTCGAGTGCAGGAGTGGGGAGCGGTCGTCTCGTTGAGCTTTCGCGCCGCGTCTCGTGTGCAGCTGATCTGCAACAGATACATGTCAACTCTCGTCGATCTCCATGTTCGCGGATAGTAAAGCTGAGCTTACCGGCGTCGGATTCGTCTATGTGGTCCGTGTTGAGAGGCTCATTGGCTTCAGTGCCTACAAGACGGCTACAACTTCAGCCAAAGCGCTAGAGTATCCTGGTCATACATGCCAGGCGCCCAGACCAATATCACTCACCAAGCAGCCAATCCGTAGAGCTTTGGCCGTTCAACGTAGAGTTCGCGGCCATGATGGGAAGCGCAGACTGCGGTTGGGAAAAGCGAAAGTCGTCAGGAAGACGGTGGGCACACAACGAGGTTGCTACTCACTGATCATTCACCGGTTGACATTCATATAGCGCAGACGCCGCCGCTCCATGTCCGCGTGCATCGCCTCGTGCCCATACCCTCCAGAATGCCCTGCCCAGTCACACGTTCGAAAACACGCATAGTACTCCGCGAATCAACTTGCGATATGTCCTTCTATGAGGCGCGGTATCAGCTTGCAAGAGCGGGAGTTCTTGCTGGCTTAGCCGCAACTTTCTCATGAGATCCCCAAATATGGGAAGCGTGTGCAGGGCGGCAGGGCCCGGTGTGGCCTGGTCAATAGACTTCGAACGCCTTTCCGTGACATGCGCGCGTTGCAGATGCTCTGGGTCAGTCAATCTCGCTGGCAGTGACAAATGCATGTAGTCGACAGCGAGCGCTGTGCATCTTCAAGCGACATATGGGATTATAGCGCATGGCGTACGGCTACCATACAAGTGGCCTGACTGGCGCGCATAAGGTCCACCGGTCCTACAGACGCTTACTGAGACCGCAGCATCGAAGCTGCGAGGACATCTATGAGCGCTTGAGCAAGGACCCTATGACGAGCATATAGAAACGTACGCAGCAGAAAAGGAATCGAACTCCGCGAGCTCGACGCTCTGGCCATGCTGGAATCTTCACGAGGCTGCTTGCTGGAGCAGCCGTCGGGGTTCCCGTCGAAAACGCCCCGTCGTGAAATGGCCGGTGTCATGTATCATGATTATCCCCATTTCGGGACTAATCTCGCCCTACTACGCGCGGCGGAATCCAGACAGAAAGGGTCACAACACTGACAATAGCGCTTCGTCAGTACAAGTCGGGTAAATCAGACTAAACACGCGTACGTGTGCTCCTGTCGCACATCCCAAACGCGAACCGTAAAATCGTCCGACCCCGACGCAATCCGCCACCCATCCGGCGAAACCGCCACAGCGTTAATATCGCTCGTATGCCCCTCATACAGCCCCCCAATCGATGTTCCCATCTCGACGTCCCACACCCTGACCCCGAAATCCCCAGGCCGCCGCTGAGAGAACGTGCCGCCCGTCCGGGAAGAACGCGACGGCGCTGACGGACCACAGGCGCTCGCCGATCCTCCTGCCTTCGTCTTCGCCGTTCGCGGAGATGTCCTAGATGCGGATGGTGCAGTCGCGCGAGCCGGATACGATGCGTTTGCCGTCTGGGGAGAAGGCGATGCACATGACCCAATCGGCATGGCCTTCGAGCAGGTCGCCTACGCGCTTCCCGGTCCTCGCGTTCCATAGCCTGATTGTACGGTCGTACGAGCCCGAGGGGACCCTTTTGCCATCTGGGGAGAAGGCGACGCAGCGGACGAGATCGTAGTGCCCTCTGAGCGTCTTGCCCGCCACCTTGCCGGGCTTGGTGCACCATATGCGTACGGTGCGATCTTCGGAGCCAGAGACGACGCGCTTGCCAGTTGGCGAGAAGGCGACGGACCAGACCCAGTCTGTGTGTCCCTCGAGCGGCTTGCCCACCGCGCGCCGCGTCTTTGCGTCCCAGAGCCGAGCGGTGCAGTCGTACGAGCCAGAGGCGATGAGCTTGCCGTTTGGAGACCAGGCGACGGAGGTGATGGATCGGTGGTGTCCCTCGAGCGGCTTGCCGATCGTCTTGCCCGTCTCCACGTCCCAAATTTGGATTGTAAAGTCATTCGAGCCGGAGACGATGCGTTTGCCGTCTGGGGAAAAGGCGACGGAGGTAACTTCGTGCGTGTGGCCGGTCAGAATGGTGGCGGGCATTGTTGGCCAGGATGGAAGGGAGGATCATGATGAAGAGTTGTGTACTAGGAGGCTCGTTAGCAATAGAACGATGTAGAGCTAGTCATGAGCGCACCTGGCGTTCTCACAGCATAGCCATGTAACTTGACGTCCTACAACTTCTCGCCGTCCATTTCCGTAAGTTTGAAACATGTAACGAGAGCGCAGAGGGAGACCGCGAGAGAGTTAGAAGCGTGAAGGCAACATCTGTTCGGGCCGACGCACCTGTTGTGTAACTTGTGTTTCGACCACCATGGCGCGCACGCTTTCTTCTCTCGTCTCTCCTTTGCCCTTCTGGCTCTACACCTAGACGTAGCTGACCATTGCTCAACCTTCTACGGAAATGTGGTCGATTTCTCCTCAGGCGGAGGCAGCATGCGTCGCCCGTCCGCCGATCTACGCGCCAACTCTCGACTCCCGCACTCTGCGCCTCCCCCCAACCAATCTCGCCCTCGCGACAGCTCAAACATGGACCACCGCAGCGAACAAGCGCGGCTTCCGAAGCTCAGAACACTCGCCTCGACCCCGCTCAGTATATGGACCTGTGGACGGACCAGAGCCGGTAAAGACGTCGGAGGGGGAGGAAATCGAGTTGGAGGGGACAAGAAGATTAGCCCCGTTGCGGGCAACGACCGATACTTACTCTACGGACTTGCGTGCTGCGTACATACCTGACCTTCTTGTATGCGCGTACTCCGTGTCTCCTACAATACATACACATTTACTGGATCCATTGTGGATTGAGCGACATTGCATCATCAAGACCCAAGCGACGGGACGCGTCAGGAAGATACTGCCCGGTCCGAAGAGGCAAGAACGCGTGCGGTGAGAGTAGCAGGAAGGCTCAGCGCAGCGGAGGGGTCTAGGGTCGGGTATATGGTATGTGCGACCAGTACTATGTCCTACGGGCCGGCGCTTCTTCACCATATTGAACGACCCTCTAGCGGACTGCTCGCTATATGAAGGCGAACCCGACTAGCATGGCTACATGCCGAAGCAAGATCAGCTAGATGGTAAACGTTCTCGGTGAAGTCTGGACTGGGGTTGCCTCGTCTTGGTCCGCGCCTTGTAGAATGCCCGCCCTTCTGGGTAGATGTGCTGTGGCATATTGATGGAGTCTCACGGCGAGCCCATACTACATTCAAGGCCTTTTTGCTTTGTTGGCGTGAGCGTATATGCTCGCTTCTGGTAGCTGTCCAATTCCGCTCTCGTAGAAGAGCCTGGTTCGTTCCACCAAGAGTACTACGGGTCATCACCCGCCTCCCCCGTCCACAATGAGAATTAATCCGGCCCGATCTCTTGTGTTCTGTATCGCGAATATGCGTATACCATGCCTTCGCTCGCGATTGAACAGCTTGTAGAAGACAGGGCATGAAGCATATATGCCTGCAAGTCAACGGCTGACCAAATATCATCACGACCCACAAAGTTCGGGTATAGGATGAGTATGACGTCGATCAATGGTTCAATCGTCCGGCACATACAAACATTCACAGAAGCCATAAAGTACAAGACCAGATCATTGAGGATACAAAATACGTTCCCACTGGACGTCCATGTAAGTGATATGTAAAAATGGTACATAGTCGCGTGGAATCACGCTGCATCGGCAGACCCGGGAATGGCGTTCTCGTGGACCTGCGAGAACAACGTCAGTTGTTGAACGATGCCGGAGTGAAATGGCATACATCTACCTCCTGAGCCTGTGGTAGCAATGGCTCTAACACGTCCCATATCCGAGTCGTTTTGTCCCGTGAGCCCGACACGACGCGCGTGCCATCCGGGGAGAACGCAACAGACCACACCCAGTTCGTGTGCCCTTCATACGGCTTTCCCACCATCTCTCCCGTTTCCACATCCCAGATACGGACTGTGCAGTCGGCCGAACCCGAAACGATGCGCTGACCGTCCGGCGAGAATGCGACGGAGATGACAGCGCCGCCGTGCCCCTCGAATGGCTTGCCCACCGCCTTTCCCGTCTCCGAGTTCCAGATTCTGATCGTCTTGTCGCCCGAGCCAGAGACGACGCGCTTGCCATCTGGCGAGAATGCGACGGACCAGACCATGTCGGTATGCCCTTCGAGCGGCTCTCCCACCATTTGGCCCGTCTCGACCTTCCAGATACGGATGGTTTGGTCGCCAGAGCCCGAGACGACGCGCGAGCCATCTGGGGAGAACGCGACGGACCAGACCGAGTTTGTATGCCCTTCCAACGGCCCCCCTACCGTCTGCCCCGTCTCCGCATCCCAGATTCGAAGCGTAGCGTCGCACGAGCCCGAGACGACGCGCTTCCCATCTGGCGAGAACACAACGGACCGGACCCAATCAGTGTGCCCTTCAAACGGCGTCCACACAGCCTGTCCCTTCTCCACGTCCCAGACTCGAACGGTACGATCGTCTGAGCCCGAGACGACGTATACGCCGTCTGGGGAGAATGCGACGGACCAAACCCAGTCGGTATGCCCTTGAAGTGGCTTCCCCACTGTCTCTCCGGTCACCGCGTCCCATATCCTGATCGTGTTGTCGTACGAGCCCGAGGCGATGCGCGTGCCGTCAGGCGAAAACGCGACGGATGAGACGGCCAAGTAATGACCAGTCAAGACTGTTTTGTAACTCGGTCAGTTGGTTTCCCCATGTCGAAGATGACCTTTGCACTCGCCTCGCACGGTCCTGGTAACTTTCGCACAATACTCCATCACTTTCCGAGCGGTCTGGCATTGGTGTACGTCGGTACTGCGTAGATCATCTAGCAATACCGGCGCTATGAGTCTATACGGCAAGTCTACTTTGACCGTCGATTCAGGATCTGCACTCTCAACGAGGATGTCCAAGATATCGCAGAAGATATCGGCCCGTATCTTGCGGGCAGTTAGTTCGCGGATTAGTGCTCGCCGACTCTCCCCTATTCAGTCATTGAGTAGGAGCGCCTGTTCAAGTAGGCACACACGATCGCACCTGAACTTGCGTAGGCGCGGATTGTTGCACGCTGCTCTTGCTGCGAAGCGACTTCGAGGCCCGTGGACTTGCTGTCGGCGTATTTTCGAACGACAGTTCCCGCCAAGTCATAAAGATCGATCTCTTTCCAGGTTCTAAGAGCCTCAGCGTTGTCTTGCTTTCCCAGTTCAGCCCACTTGAACTTCGCTTTCGCACGCGGGGTATATGTAGAGCCCAGTTGTTGAGAGCCCCAGAGAGATTGATGAATCTTTTGACCTTCTTGAATGATGCGTGCTCCGCCACGATGTGGTCTAGTCCAATTATAGCATTAAGTTAGACTGTAGAGAGTGGATCAAAGCGATACGTATACGCACAGGTATGTCGTATCAGCTGAATTTGAAGACAAGCGATTAGCTTTCTTCCCATATGTCAAATGTCGGAATGGTAGGACCTCCAGGGGCAACCAGGCCCAAGTGAGAGATTCATGAATGTCTATCTCCTTGGCGAAGAGTTTATAGTTGGGATTGAGGGGGTTAAGGGCGAGCCCCGCAGCATCCGCCTCTGAATACATCCATCTCAGTGACGGACGCGTCAGATCGAGACTTTCATTTCCCACGTTCCCTCCTCCACTGTGGACACTGATTAGAGTGTCTTCCCGACGAGGACATAGAACTGACATGTCAGAATGCGTTCCAGCGAACCAGACTTCCTTCGTATGGGGTACGTTCACCTTCGGCGTGCTGTCCGCCTCCTTCCGTTCGTTTCTGTCCTTCGCCGCGTCCACCCGCTTCGCGAGCTCTAATGAGTCTTGCATGACAGCTTCTTGCGGTGACGATCCTCCATAGGCATATTCAGGCAAAAACTTCACACGACGTTCGTCCAAGGCGAGCGCGTGCCGGAAGAAGCAAACATGCTTCATGCCATTGATGGTATCAGGGAGGAGTTTTCTACCTCGTACAAGCCCGATTGACGACACTGTATCCCTAATATGTTGCGTCAGCGGTCGTACAGTCTGCGCAAGTATATAGCTCGTACGCACCATGCGCCAATGACATGTACTTTCACTTCGCGTGAGAATGTTGTCTTGAAAGTTTGTGCCGTTGTAACGGAGTCCATGGCCCCGGTGCCTTCAGAATGGGAGTAGAGCTGATAGGCACTATTGAGAAGGAATCATGAGCCGGGCGCAACGACGGGATAATTCACACGACTTGGCTTACAACGGGATTTGCTTCTCATTGCCTCGATGGATCAGCCCGACCTAATGGGTGACGGTCAGCATAGTTGCATTAGTTGCGTAGAGTATCGCACCCTATGGATCATCGCTGAGAGAGTACGGACTTGATAAGCACCACGCGAGAAGCCTGTGTACATGTCAAGATCATTGGCGTAGACCTTCAGCTAGACTAACTCACCAAAGAAGTAGATACAGTCACCGTCTTCATAGGTCTCGGAAAGCCAGCGGTATGCGTCAAGTACAATACTTTCGAAGTTCCTAAGTGCGTCGTGTTAGTAGTTGCGCCCCGTGAACAGGAACAGTCAAGCTTACCATGCGATTGCGAGATCCATCTTGTGACCTACGACCTGCTTATAGTACGCCCACGACCTCCACGACGGTATTGCGTAGGTTCCGATGCCGCTATTGTAGTAGGTACGCTGGTTGTCCCCTTTGCCCTTGCGTATGAGACTGTAGAGCTCTATGACGTTTGTGTTCTGTGAAGGGCCAAGGATGGGCGATACGGGTCTTTGGGAAGGACAATAGGCGAGATTCGCGCACCCTCTTGCCGAACTGGTTTGAGGTGCCATCGATGCAGACGATCAAATTTCTTCCCTCTTTCGCGCAACCACATGGCGGGTTTGGGATGGGATGCGTGGCCGCTTCTGGCTGGTGAAGAGGGTTGTGCGCCAAAGGGTCACCATTCGGCAATGAGCCTAGGGTAGAGCAATAATCCGTGAGTAAAGACGTGTCTAGCCACAACGGCGTCGTGCGCATAAAGAGAGATCGACACGCACCAGGATCCGCGCGGGTCTTAGATTCTGTCGGTCTTGTCGGAGGTGATGGTGTGGAGGTTTTAACTTCGAGTTCGCCAAGCATGGCGAGGGAATCTGGGTCGGCAACCAATCAGTGAAGTGCCAACTGATCCGGCGACGAGCGGCGCGCTCACTGTGTGGGAGCTGTACATCTTCGCTCTGAACTGAGCTGACCGACATCAGAGGGAAAGATACTGTATGTGCTGAAGAGTGAGTACAGGGTGGGATGGTGGACGAAGGCGAGCGTGCATGGGACGGGGCTCCTTTACTTCACGGGCAGCAGCCTTGCCTCGCGGCTTTTGCCCCAATGGCCTGCCAGTCTCAACGTGTTCAACAAGCGCCATGACTTTAGAATGAATGATTCTTTCCTGTCAGCCCACGAGTCCACCGATTCGCCTCGCTTTCTCAGAGCAGTGTTCACACAATGTTGTACGAGATGCGGCTTCCGCGGCTGGAATCGCAAGCGATACACGATGCATTGCTTCGAATGAACGCTCGAATGAGGTGACAAGGGTCTGGAGTGATATATAGGCAAGTGAGTAAACGTAGTCAGGTTGTGCGTATGCTCAAACTCAAGCGCCAATGCCTCTCCTCCTTTGAGCTACTCCCCACCGCCGTCTTCTCCTCAAAATGCCTCCTCCCCACGCGACTTGATTTCCATGATATCATGGACCAGGGCTTGACCTATTCCTCGCTACCGGAATCCCTGGCGTAATAGTGGCGCGAGGGCAAAGGCTGGCGAAGCAGATGGTCGGCCTGTAAAGGAGAGCGCCGGGTGTAGATGATGAGCGCTACATTCGGCGCGAGCTGGCGCGAGGTCCTGCGCTGGATGAGAACATTCGTTGGGCGCCAAAGAGATGGACAGGGTTGGGCGTTTGAGCGAAGCGCCGCTCAGATCAAACATTCTAGGGGGTGTTGACATCCGTCGGACGATACGATAGAGAGATTCTTGCGTTCGGAAGCATGTCGATGTAGAGAGTGTATGAGATATGGTGGTAGTCAGTCGCGGTGGTGGTAGTGATGATCGTCTGCCCGGGCCAAGAACGAAAGGATCAAAGTGGGGATCGTATACGCTCCCACGCTCCCTCGGCCCGTATCGTCACGACTTGGACTTGTCCACCAGCGGCCTATGACAGGCTTCATTACGTGCTCTCAGTTCACAGTGTGATGTCCCAGAATGAATCCCTAGGGCGTGCGTGCCGAAGGCGCACATACGTGCTGGTGAATGAATGGCGACTCTATAGTACTTATGTAGTTCGAGAGCGTGCGTACTCGCGGGAGCGCCCGCCTCTCATACACACTCAGCGTGTCATCGTCACGTCGCTCAGTGCACAAGCTCCATGAAGGGCTGTTTCAGTCACAGGCGAGCTCTGAAGCTCCCGGGCCTACTTCGAGCATCTAGTTACCCGTATAGCATCCGGCGCGCGAGCGCGAACTACCGACGCAAGGCTCACGATCCCGGATGTGAACCAAACCATCGCTTTCATTTCATTACTATGCATACTTGAGGTTGAAAACGACACCCCGACACACCACCTCGCCCGAAGCTCCCATCTGCCACCACTTCCGTGCTTCCACCCCCGCCCCAACACGCGCCGCCACTCTCTCTATCCGCTCTACAGTCTCGCGGTATCCCGGCCTGGCATGGTTCCATCAACATGCGACTGAGGTATCGATCCGGATCTCCCGAATAGGCGACCCCATCCCAACCCTCTCGCGGAGCATACGCTCGAAGCCTGGGAACCACACGACTCTCCCTGGCATAGGACCCGGCTTCATCACCAAGCGCTCCAAGCGCGGCAGCACGCCTTCTCCATCTTCGTGCTCGGACAAAGTATCGAAGAGATCCACGAGCTCATCTCCAGCCTCGGTCTGAACGCGGAGCGCAGAGACGTACGGAAACGCGCTCAGCGTCGTCCTCCAGAACTGGGCAGGCTCCGATCTTGCGACTCTCTTCCCGGGGAAGCAATCGAGCTCGACGACGCGGCTCGCGACGCCGGATTCGCGAAGGGGCTGCAGTGCTGCGGACATGCGGTCCATGGCGTTCGCGTAGCTCCGTCGGTGTCCGTACTCTGGAAAGAGGACGAATCTGATCGCATCATGACCAGCTCTATCGGTCGACGTAGACATGCCGTCAGATTCGCGTTGTAAGCTGACGTCTGTTATTAGTCTACGCCCGTGGTGCACGGCCAGAGAGCACAACAACCGCTCCGATGCTAGGAGTGGTGATTCGATACAAGTGGCCAAGGTGCACGCCATCGCGTCGGAGATGTTGACTGCGTTGGTCTTGGTCACGTATTCCGATACGTGTAGACGTTCGGCTTGTGGTGCGCGTAGATGCCTGAGTAGATCGAATGGAAGGCAAGCACTGTCCGTTTGGACGATCTTGATTCTGGATAGGACCGGCATGACGATAGGCGTGGATCTCGATGTTGGATCGCCCTTGCGAAGTGCGTGTGCGAGAGAGACAGCCTTCAAGCTGGGATTGTGGGAGAGGATATCAAGGACGTCGTCGCAACGGAAGAGCCTTTCCGGCTTCGCCCAAGTGAGCGAAATGTCCAACGACGTCAAGCGCCCATGCTCCGGGAGGCGTATAATGACATTGCTCATCCTCACGTCCGTAACCTGAGCGTCTCTCGCGAGAACAATATCTGTGCGAGAGTCGTGATCCATAGTCCCACAGTTGAACTCCACCGAAAGCGAGTGCAGGTTCGGAATAGAGTCGGAAGACAGCACCGAGGCTATAGAGCGGTAGTCTTCGGGCGATCTGATCGTGCAGCAAAGTGCGCGCGCGCGTGGGATGAGCGGGGCCATGCGAGCGAGCCTGAGCGAGCGTATTCTCCAACGTATGGCGCGGCGAGTCGAGCTCGAGATGAAGGGGTGCATCCCGCGCGCGGCACAAAACACACTCGAACGCGCTTCCGCTCGACCCAAATGCACAGAGGTCGCGCGCCCATAAGCACGGCATGTCCAGCAGGAGAGAGCGCCAGAGGCGGCATACATGGCCGAGTTTGATCCAGCAGTCTGATGCCCGCGTCCCGTTGCGAGGATCGGGACGGGCGATGTCCGCGACGTGCTCGGAGATGAGGCGGAGCGTGTCGCTGTTGAGGCGCAGGATGTGAGGATGGGAAGGAGCAGGGGTGTAGCTGGGTCCCAGCGGGCATTCGCAGTCATCGCCCTTTCTAGCGCTATTGATCCACCCGTCGACGCTGTCGTCATGGTCTGCGCTCTGCGAGCGTACGATGTTGGTACAGTCTTGAGGCGGGGTAGATGACTGTATGTCCATGAAAGTTACGAATAGGCTTGATGTGATATGCCGCACGGACCGGTGATGGCTTGAAACGACGATTGAAGACGATGTCAAAAGGCGGATATATAAGGTGCATGTATCCAGGCGGTACCGCCATGACTGGACTTGTCGGTGCCAGAGATTGCCGCATGAGTCTTTTAACTGATAGAGCTCATGGCGGTGCCTCATGTAGAAGTCGCTGTTTTAAGGCGGTGAGTCTTCTTCACGGCTCCGACTGGTGCGTGTAGACTCATCGTCGCCTTACAGTAGACGAGTCAGGCTCGTTTGCACCTCGCTAAAAACTGTGTTAGGATGTCATTCAATATGAGAAAGAGGCGCAAATCTAGTATCACGTACCGTATACCGTACCCGGTCCCCTTCACTGCGCTGAGTTCGCCTGCTACTCCCACTGGACAAGCACTTTGCACTTCTGAACCGAGAGAATGTCCCAGCCGCTTCCCGTGCACAGCACGCGCAGCAACTGACGGCCTATGTAAGGGAGATCCGATGAATCGAGAGGGTGTTGTGCATTTATAGCCACGAGTTCGCAGTAGGTGCGCTGCCTGCAGAGATCTTGAGATACGCAGATCGTTGGTGCATCACACGGGTTTGAACGCGCCGACAAGCTCTAAGAAGCCCGGGCACCCGCATTCGTAGGAGGTACGTTGGGAGGCCAAGAGTATGGAACTCACTTTCTGGACAAGCATAGCGGCGGCGCGCTCATGGTGGGCGGACGAAAGGCGCGAGGCGCGGAGGAGCAAACGGATCAAAATGCGGGTTCGGGGGGCGCGCGCGACCTGTGGCACCTGCAAGCAACCTACTTTCGCCAGCGAGTCGGGCAAGGAGCAAGGGCCTAGCGCACGATGGTAGTGCTACTTCAAGTCCCGCTCGAAGCAAGAGGCATTATCATATATCATTCGTATATATTCCGCTCAAGGCTACTTCGCGCGTCTCTTCAGAGACGGCAATACGCATCACACTATACATGCACAGGTACGGAAACTAAACACAACACCCTCATACTTCCCATCCCCCTCCCCCACCCTCCCCCACC